GGGGGTATAAAAGGGTTATATGCCTTAGGTAGTAACTTTGCCAAAGCAAATAAATATTTCTTGCACATAAATATATTTTTAGTATTTAGTTAATAGATTTTTAATGCCTTAAACTTAAATAATAAACCTAATCTTATGCCTTTCTTAAGTAATACTAGCATATTTATATTATTAATAGTAATAATAAAGTTAAAATTGCTATTAACTATGTGGGTATATAAGAATAATTATTCTTGCTACCATGGCTTAAATAAGTAATCTTTATTTTTTAAAAGATCCGTACGTGATTACACTAGTACTTTTAAAAAAAAGTGCAGTTATACCACTATTTAATTTATAATATATACTTATTAGGGTTAGCAATAATGCGGGCGAGGTATAATTATAATAGGTATAATTATATTACCACACGCGGTAATATAAAAGATTTTTTTACTTAAATTTATTATTACACCATGCGGTGCTAGGCTGTTAATATTAATTAATAAATTAGCCTTTAAATGTGATGTAAGGTGCGCTTTTACTATTATTTTTACTATTATATTTTTTAAAATATTCCCGTGCACCTGTTTTACCTTAAAGTAAATAAGTAATTATATAAATTAGTTTATTAAACCCGCACTAATTTCCCTTAGTAGGATTAGTAAAAAATATTAATATACAGGAATATCCGGGCAGTTCCAAGCTAGAAACACCTTATTAATTAAAGTTAAAGTTAAACTAGAATTAATGCAAATTTAATAAAAAGCACTATTAGTAATAAAAAAAGCTTTTGCCAAAGTATATTTTTAATTTTTAAAAAAAAGTCCTAGCGGTGCAGCTAATATAGGTTTTAAAAATTTTATAATTAAGGTACTAAGGGACATATAATATATAGCAAAGTTATTACTAGTATATATAAAAAAATGCTTGTGTAGCTTATTATTTAACTAAAAAGTAAAATAACATGCGTGATAGTTAACTTTATACGCTTCTTTTTTATATTTATTAAAAGAAACATTGTACTTGTTACTTGGAACTTCCTAAGCCTAAGAGTTATATATTTTACTAAATTAAATATTTTCTATAAACTAATTATTTTTTAGTGTTCCTTTCTTAGGATCTAGCATAGCAAAACTATTAGCATGGTAGGTTTTAGTATAATAACTATTATTTATTCTTTAATTATTATTTTATCTTGGTTAGTCTTGGTATAGTTATTAGGCTAACTAAAAGTTGCGTTGTGCTTATTAAAAATATTACTAACTTTAAGAATACTATTAATTTTATTAATTTTATTAAGAATATTGCTAATTTTAAAAATAATAATTCTAAAAGTTCCTTTAATTCTAGGAGGGCGCACAAGCACTCCAAAAGTTACCTATTTAATTAGGTTAATTATTTTATGGTAAATTAGCTATTAGGTCCCATTCCTAGAAGTTTTTTTACTACACATAGCGTTAGGGTGCGCGTGCTGGTTATTAGGGCTGGGTTTAATTACCGTAAAAATAATATTTAGTATATTTATAAAATGCTTATTATACTAGTTAACATGCACGCGGCTAGAACTTATTAAACTAATTAGTCTATTTTCTTTGCAGGATCCCCATGAACTTTAAGATAATTATATTATTCTTTTTTAAGGGCTTGTTAATAATGTCTTTTAATAGGATATCCAGGTTTCGCCAAGCTCTTAACACTAAAAAAAATTCCTAGTTAAATTTTCCATACTACTTTGCCAAAGCTACCATATTAAATATATAGGCTATAGGCAAGCGTTTAGCTTAAATATTTATTACCATGTAACATAAGTTATCTAACCTGGACCTTGCTTTACTAGCCAGCAGCTTAAACCTTTTTTTTAACTATTTATACTAGTTCTTAATATTATTAAAGGTAGTTAATTCTTTATACTAAACCTAATTAAGCTTTAAATTATACTATCGCGCAGCTTTACCTCGCAAACATATTTTTAAATTTTAGTATATTTTAAAAATATTTTTAGTCTCCAAAGCACTATAAATTTAAGTTATAAAGGCGTAAATATCACGAAAATAGGGCTTGTTATCACGCTTAACTTTTATATTAAAGCCCTAATTAAGTGGCATATCTAGATAAAAAAATCTAACATCGGCCGCTTTCTAGTAAAAAGATTTAGTATTTATTCCCTGCTGCTTACTGTTTGCAGCATTCTTATTAAAATTAGTGTTTATTACCGCCTGTGCTATTAATATGGCTAATATTGTTAACTACTATTAAAAAAAACTAGTAAAACCAGGACCTTTTTTACCAGCCGCTCCTCCGGCTGCTCTATTTCCGGCCATTTTAATATGGTTAGTATCCGGAAGATCTAGTGCGGATAAAGAATCCAAAAGTAAAGAACGCGTGTTTTTATTTTTAGTAAATATATTCTTATTTTTTTTATAGTTTTAAAAGAATTGTGGAACGTCCAATGCGTTAGTTAAAGGTAAAATAATTAAAAAAAAAGGCCTTTCTTCCAACAATTTCTTGAAACCTGGTATTTAAAGGATATTAGGTAAAAAAGATGCCGTGTCTATATTTATAGCTGGTATCTTTATTAATCTTAGTTTTAGGATAAAAAAAGTAAATACCGCAAGCGTAGGGCAAGAAGGTGTTAAAAGTTTTAACTTATTATATTTAAAGGCTGTTGGTACGCCGTTCTTTTTTTTAAAAAAGAAAGCAAAATCTAAATAAAAGTTAATTACCACTATAAATTATAGTTATTTGCAAGCTGCTGTTAGGCCTTAAGATTAATAAATTTAGTTATTTAGAAATTCCTTTATAGCCGTATACTTAGGTATTTTAATAATAGTTAGCTTTTTATTTAAATAGGATAAAAAAACAAACTTTGCACGTGTTAAATACTTTAGGGAGATTTTAGTGGTGTATCCATGCTAAGAATAATAATAAAAATTATATATATTTATGGCGGTCTTGTATAAGTTATTAAAAAAAGATAATATAAGTAAGGGAGGTTTTAATGGTTCGAGATTATATAAGTGGCAAGCTTAAATATATAATAGTAATAAGAAGTTAAAGAGTCTAATAGTTTAATTTAAGTAGTTCTTGCCTGAATTTAGCGAGCGGAAGGAACTTTTAAAAGTTTATAATATTATAATATTTGGCCACCAGGCCACCCGGTTGCTTGCTTAGTTGGTTAAATAAGGAAAAGAAAAACTTAGGGAAGAAAAAAAATTATCTTTATATAGGAAGATTTAAGGAGTTGCGGAGTTAGAAAAGTAAAAATAGTAAAGGTTTAATATTATAAAAAAAGCCAACGTAGTAGTAAGGCTCAAGCACTTTGTTATAGTAAAAACTTATAAATACTTTAGAACTTTGCTAAAACTTCCTAAAGTTAAAAAATTTAGCCTTTAATTAAAATTAAAAACATGCTACCATTATTATGGTAGTGGCCAGGCGACACCTAAAAAAATGTTATATAACTAAAAAAGATATTAATAATTAACTATAAATAGCTATAAGGCCATTTATCTACATAGTGGATAACTCAGGCATGAGTCATTGACATCCGCAGGATCCGACCACAACATTATAATTTTTTCTTACAGCAGGAGTGCTAACTTTTAAATAAAATTACCTTTTTATATAAGCCTTAATAGCTTTTTAAACATGCCACTAATATAATATAATATTAATATTTTAAAAAATAGGCTTTATATAGCCTAAAGCACCTAAATTATAATTTATTATTATTATTAGGGGCTTGGGGGTTTTAAAATCTTAATAAATAATTTTTAAATAATTTAAAATAAAGCTATAGGAGTTAATTAACTTATTAATAAGTAAGTTAAAAATAATATAAAAGGTTTAATTTATTAAAGTTACTCCTATAATATTTAATAATAAAAGGCTAAAATAATTAGTTTTATAAGTGTAATTTATAAAAATAATATAGGGAAATTAGCAAAGTAACTTTATAAAAAACTTATATATAAAAAATAATTAAGTAAGCTATTCCTTTTTTTTATTATATTTTAGCTTTTAATTTAGGTTATTTTTAAAGTTATTTATAAATACCTAAAGTAAAGATTTACCTTTTAACAAGACTTAAAACTAGTAAAACTAATAGTTATATATATTACAAGGTAAAAAAATTAATAATAAGCTTTTTATATAAATTTACTTAATAATTTTAAATATACAGGTCTGCTGGGCAATTTATTAATTAATAAAGGTTTTTTTATCTAAGCTCCGCCTAATAATATTAAACTTAAATAAATTTAAGTTTAAAATTATAATTATAATAATTATTTTAAATAAAAAAATACTAAAGTTTATTATACTTATAATAACTTATTTAAATACTAAATTTATAGCTAGTTTTTATAAAACCACGCGTTATACCCTGGGGGTTATATTTAAGGCTATAAATATAATAAAAATAAATAGCTTTAACCTAGCTATATTTATTTTTATTAAATTATTTTTTAAAAATTATATATTAATAATCCCAGGCTTATTACTAGGCGGCTTTTAGTATTTAGGCTTTAAAGGTATATAATTATTTAAGGGGTAAAAATAAAAAGCTGTTATTATTAAGGTGTTTAGTATTAAATTTAATAGGGTTAATATTAGGGGCAGGAATATATTTAAAAATAAAGTTATTATTATTTTTAGGCTAAATTTTTAGTCCGTTATTTTTAGTATTTATAGCTTAAATTTATATAAAACTATTATATAAATCTTAGCCCACGGTTTTTAATAAAAATTATTATTAATTATATAAAAAGTTAAGACGTGGCCGACTTGGCTTGAAAATAAAAAAACTAGTTATTTAAACCGCTTTTTAATCAGGATTCTGCTTTATAAAACCCTGTTAAACAGTCGAATTACCCTGTTGAAAAAGACTAACTCCTACACTAACTACTCCATACTCCATACCCGCCCCATCTCCATCCCCACCATGACTTCATCTCCTCATCTGCTCCTTCTCACCCCGAGAATTTACAATCTCCCTCCTCCCCAACCCAGTTACCAAAATGCGCCCACTCCTCATAACCCTCGACGCCTTCAACACCCTCATAACCCCGCGCCTTCCCATCCCAGCCCAATACGCCTCCTCCGCAGCAAAACACAACATCCCCCTCTCCGCCTCAACACTACAACCCGCCTTCCGCTCCTCCTTCAAAGCGCTCTCGGCCTCGCACCCAAACTACGGACGCGAGCTTGCCCTGCGCGGGGACTACGCGGGACCGCGACAGTGGTGGGAGGACGTAATACGCGGGTGTTTTGAGCGAGCGTTGCGGGAGAATGACAGTCCCGATTTGAGGGGGAAAGCCGTGCCGGATGCCTTGGTTGAGGATTTACTGGACCGGTTCGCGAGTAAGAGGGGATATAGGCTTTTCGACGATGTAGGGCCGTTTTTGAAAGCGGTCAGGGCGCAGAGCAGGAAGGTTGTTATCGGGGTTGTCTCGAACTCGGACGATCGGATTTCGTCCGTGCTGGATTCGCTGGGTGTTTCTGTACGCGATGCACGTGCCGGCGAGGAGAAGACGGCTTCTGGGCATGACTTGCCTGGGTTTGAGGGGGAGAGAGAGACCAAGACGGCTCAGGACCAGCACCGAGAGCAGAACGACATCGACTTCATCCTAACGAGCTACCAGGTTGGTGCTGAGAAGCCGGACCCGTTGATCTGGGACGTGGCGACGCGTACGGCGAATCGATTGGCTGGTGAATCTGGATCTGGTACAGGGCCTGATGGCTGGGAGTGCATTCATATCGGCGACGACTACGGCAAGGACTATCGCGGCGCTGGTAATGCGGGCTGGGGGGCGTACTACCTGGCGCGGGATGCTGAGGCCGCCGCACAGGCCCCGGAGGGTACGAGGGTGATTACATCGTTGTTGGATCTTCTACCAAAGCTGGGAGCAAGTGATTCTCAACAATAGGCGTAGATCTACGGAGTAATAATGTGTAATATATCAATTGACTATCATAACGCAGTAAGTATGCCAAGGTATGTATGTACTCCATAATCCCTCCACCCATCCTATCCAGAAACGCCATGCAAGTAAACAAACCCTCGACTCAAATCAGCATAAAATAATTACTCCCACTGCCCAGCACCTCCCAGAGCCCCCATCCCGGCGCGATTGCCAGCATGCTTGGTCAAAAGCGCCTCAATATTGGACCCACGGTTGCGGTGCTGCGTACGCAACTGCCTCTCGCGTTCCCGTTCCCGTGCAGCAGTATAATAGTTAACGGAGCCCTTCTTTGCAACCGTCGCCCCAGGCGCCTTTGTCACGCCGCGCGAGGAATCAGTCGTAGACGTGGAGCTGGAGCTCGACGAGGCGGTCGTGGTCTTGCGCAGGATCGGCGGCTTAAACCCGAACGAGGCGGCCTTTTCGCTGGCTGCGCCGGTGTGGAAGGCCAGGCGGGTACTGTTCGAGGTCGAAGCAGAGTTTGAGGATGCTTGACGCAAGAGGGCAAGACGGTCGACGACGGGGCCTCGGGTGCGGCGGGGGTGTGCGAAGGATACGCCTGTTGCTGGGGATTGTTCGCGGGGGCGGCTGGTCACTAGGGGCTCCTCGGACTCATACTCGTTATCGTCGGCATCGGCATCGGCATGCTGCTGCTCGGCCTCATCGTCATCAACCGAAGCATCCTCCTGGAAGGAATCGTATTCAGGACGCTCGGTGAGGAACGAAAGCGTCTCGCGAATCTCAGCGAGTGTGGCAGGCTTCTTCGACATCGCACCGGCAGGCTTGCGGCGGAGGTGAGGCGGAGGTCTGTTGTTTACATCCTCTGCCGCAGGCTCCAGGGGCCTCTTCCTCTTGTTGCTGGTGCTGTCACCTTCTGCCGTCTCCGCTGCTGTATCTTGCGATTCATCCTGTCTCGCAGATTCTTGCTCGTAGCCCAGAAAATCGAGGCCGGCGTCGTCATCGTCCCGATCTTCGATGGCCTTGAAGAAGGCTGCCTTCTTAGGGTTCTCGGCTAGTTCGCCGACCTTGCCATCGGCAAGGAGAGCGTTTCGCATGCGGGCAAACTCTCTCTGCTTCTGGCGACGGCGGGCCAGTAACTCATCGTCTGAGTCGTCTAGGTCGAATTCGTCGTCGTTGTTGCGGCGCCGGCGAAGGGCTCCTGTGGTGATGTCCTTGAGCAGTTTTGCTACGTCCTTCTCGTCGGCATTTCTCTGGTGAAGGCTATGTGCAAGTTAGTAGGTGAGCAGGTATACGGAGTTGGTAGACATACGCATTCAGAGCAGCCAGCTGCTTCGCATCAACCTTTTCCCCGCTGTTGTCATTGATCATTGCCCTGTCGTATGCGTTCTCTTCATCGTCGGCATCATCGTCGCTTGCACCTCCCAGACCGGCATATTCATCGTCTGATTCCTCGGCAGCTTCTTCCACAACATCCTTCGCCTTGCTCTTCTGGCGGTCAAAAAGCTCAGCCTGTTTCTTGGCTTTATTTGAAGCCTTTTTCATCACATCAAATGCACTCGCGTCAATCTCAAAGTCACCCTCTTCTTGTTCCTCTACAGCAGAAAGCTGAGGCGCTTTTCCACGCTTCAAGTTCCTTATCTTCCTCGCTGCAACTGGAGAATTGCTCTGCTCTACGAGGACAGTCTCGATAGTCGAATGTGGCGGGGTGCCCATGAACCGCTTATTGGGGTCAAAAGGCGAGAAGACGAAGCCGGCGTCTTGCGTTGGGTCAGGGATTTGGGACATCTGGGACACGCTTCGAGCAGCTGGGGACTCCGGTACCCGAGATTCCGCCCTCCAGTGTCCTGTGAACGGGTCTGTGGAGCCGGCGCGTTGCTCCTGGCTGTCTTTGACAATGATTTGAGATTCTGGCACCCGGTCAATGCTCATCGATACAGGCTCTGGCAGTGAGTTAGGGATAGTATCGTTTGGCTGGCTCATATCCTGGCTTGTAGCAAGGGTGCCTGCAAAGGCCTGGGTTAGGCTCATTGTGGCCTCCGAGGGCTTGACGGGGATGTTAGGCCGCTCCACCGAGTTCACGAACGGGTTGATTGGTTTGGCGGGCGTCTTTGGTGTCTGGTCATCCTCCTCGTCCTCGTCATCGCTGAGAACTCTAGTAGGCCTCTTGCGTCTCTGAGTTGGAATAGTGGTTACCTCCAATTGAGGTTCAGCTGCCATCTCATCTTCGGACTCGCCACCGTCATCCTCGTCGGATTCATCCTCACCAGCCTCTGCATCAATCAGGTTTCCTTCCTGATCAGCGGGTTTACCTTCCATTTCCTCGTCCTCTTCTTCTTCTTCATCTTCATCCTCCTCGTCATCCTCCTCCGGGTCTGCACCACCTTCACCTTCATCCTCCGAGCCCGACAGTTCAAAATCGCTATCATCATCATCACCACCGTTCTCCTTCTTAGCTGCCGCGCGTTCCTGCTTCGCAATCTGCTCACCCTCCTGTCGCGCCTTTTCAACAAGATTCTCCACCTCGTCTTCGAAGGCAGCGCGCTCAGCGGCTGTCTCGATTATAACACCCTTAGCACGGAGCTCCTCTATCCTCTCCCTTCGCTCCTTTCCTGCCTGTACCTTCGCTTGATACAGTAGACTCGCCGATAACTCTGCCGAGTTCATCGTGGTAGACTTCCGGGACGGCGATGTAAGCTGTGCCAATGCTTTCAGCTTGAACATGGACGCTGGTTCTTGCATGTTGCGTGCCGGGAGGTTCTCAAACGCTGCGATGCGTCGGCATTTGGCGGGCGATGTGACAATCTCGAGGTCGCTATCCGAATCGTCCTTCTGATGCCGAGCTACCTGGTCTCGGGAGAGTCGAACGCGCATAGGGGCTGCTCGTAATGGCAGCTTTCCTTTCTTGGCGCTGGAAAGTCCGATACTTGGTTTGGCGGTCTTGTCCTCTTCTTCACCAAAGACCTCTTGAGTCTCCTCGGCCGGTGCATTCAGAAGCTCTTCTGCAGTCGGGAAGACGAAATCCTCTTCCAGCTGCTCCTTGGCCGAGTCATCGGGGGCGTCCGCTGGCGACAAAATAGGCGAAGTTTGCGGCGTTTCCTTGTCTTTGTGCGCTTCGACATCCGACGAGTGCTGTGATCCTGCAGTGGTCGAGGAGTTGTCGCCAGGCTGTTCCGGCGCAGTCTGTCCCTGAGGCTGCATAAAGTTGAAACGAGCAAAGAAGCTCTCCTTGGTGATCTTCTTTTTCGTCTGTGCCTCATGAGCCAATTGCATGTTTCTGCTCATTCGCTGCGTCTCGCGGTTCATATCCTCAAGGGCTTTCTTTCCGGCCTTGCGGGCAGGGCGCGCCTTCTTGGGCGCTTTCTTCTTACCAGAGCCGCTATCATTCGCACTCTCGTCGTCAGAGAACATGTTGGCGTTGAGTGCCTCTCGTTCCTTCGCCTTGGCAGCCTTCTTATCTGCTTCAGCGCGCTCCTTCTCCTCACGCTCCTTTCGCTTCTGTGCAACGAGCTCAAGGAATCGGCTGTTCCGTTTCGGCGCTGCCTTTTCGTCCTCTGAGCCAGATGCCTCTCCCCGCTCCTGTTCTCCGTTCGGTGATTTTGCCGGGGAAGACATGAAAAGTGGGGAGTATGAGCGCGCACGAGACTGTGACCGGATGGACTCTTCATCCTCATCGCGCGTCTTTTGAGCTCTCCGTCTCGGTCCAGCCGCAGGGAGTTCATCATCAGAATCCTCGTCCTCATCCTCATCATCGTCTGCCGCCTCACGACGCGTATTGCTCGAATCCTTCTTCTCTGCTCGTAGACTTTTCAATACTCGCTCGAACGCCGATTCCGCGGGTGGCTGTTCTGCTCGGGGTTCTGTAGTTGTGTCCTGGCCCTGTAGACGCGCAGCCATTCGGCCTCTAGGCATGATTATATCTTCGTCAGAGTCTTCGTCCTCCTCGTCTAGGTCCATATTGAACGGCCGCGTCGTGGTGTTCGTCTTCGTGTTTTCTTTTGGCGAATTCGCGGGCTTCGCGTTCGATTTCGGCTTCGTTGCTATTTCACTCTCGGAATCCGAATCGCTGTCGAATGCTGCCAGCATGGCTTTGATTTTTCGCCCCGGAGTAAGCATCTCTGGGGAGTTGGCGGCCGCGGACGCGGACCGTGTCGACCGGGGTGTTGATGGGGACGACATTGTGAAGGATTATGTGTGGTGAAGTGTAAGATAGAAGTATCGATCAATTGGAGTTATATGGGCATCTTGGGTTCCAGTAAGGACATCAAGTTGAGCAAGGTTGTGTGATGTTAGTGCTGGAGGCTGCGTAGGATCTTAGGTGGGCGGAGAATGCACGACGCGCTCTGGACCGCGACCGCGTCGGTATCGGAGCACCGCCGAGATGACAGTGTTCTGTCGCCTCAGGACTTAGGCATCCACGACTAAGCTACAAATGTGTTGTTTTTCAACTTGAAAAGTGTAGCCAAGATATTGAGATTTTTAGTAGTACAGTCCGATGCAGTAAGAGAGAAATAACGCCAGACAAGAACCATCCCTAGAACAGTACAGGAAAGGCCAAAGGTCAAACCGCTGCGCCTGATGCTTCACCGTCTCGGTCACGGTTGGTATTCGAAGTTAAGCCATAAAGCATGATAAAGAGGGGGAAAACAGCAAAAGAAAACTTGCTACCGCGAAAGATATCCAAAGTTCTAGATGTCAATATCAATTTCGAGATCCAGGGCGGCGATGTTCTCGTCGTCCATGTTCCGGTGACGGATCTTCCCGCCGCCTCCCTTGGATTGCCTGTTCTGCGTGTTCTGCGAATTGGAAGGGGTGCTGCTTCGGACTGGCGTGCCTGCACTTGGTGTGCCGGGAGCAGGAGTCACGCTGGGACTTCCGTTCTCGGACTTTGGAGTCCCTTCGTTGGCATCGTAGTGAGTCTTTGCTCGAGTCTTGACGCGTAGAAAGGGGTTCAAGGATCCTTCTCCGCGGGCAGCGGCGGCAGCGGCTTTCCGACTAGCCTTGCGCTCCTCTATCTGTGCACGACGGACATTCTCATAGTTGAGTTTCTGGTTCCGCAGGTTCAGTTGGGCCAAGCGCTCGTGCTCGGAGATCTTCTTCTCAGGACGGGGTTTGGCGTTGTTTGTGCCGAAGTTTGCGAGCTCAACTTGCAGTCTGCCAACTTCATCGTCGTCACCAAGCTCCTGAGCAATCTTGAGCTTCTTCTCAATGTCGACTCGCTTAAAGAATGTCGTCTTGGTGTCTAGTGATCCTTGCTTGCGCAGTTTCTCGTTCAACTCCTCGCTGGTGAACTGGTGGTTGATCAAACGATTGATGTCCATCACCTTCTTGGCGAGCTGGGATTTAGTAGGCATCTTGCAATCCTCGACTGCCATGACCTGTCGCCATCGGTTGTATTCAGCCTGTCGATATGTTAGCTATGTTAAGACCAATGTATCACAACTACATACTTCTGTGAGCGGGGAGTCGGAGCAAGCAATAAAGGGAAACGCGCGGGTGGTTTTGCCATGGGCAAGAACAGCGTACTGATCCGTCGAAAAAGTTCGACCGTTCGCATTCTCCAGGCTGTATTTCTTTCCTTCTTTGATTTCTGGCGGAATCGTTAGCTGGCAGCTCTTAGCAAATCGGCAGCACTGCTCACCTGTAATTTGAGCAAGGCGATATTCGTTGACCCCATGGTCGTTTGGTCCAACGCTCAGACGGACATAGCAACCAACCATAGTAGATTCGAACCCAGGGTAGAAGCAAACCTGTGCGAAGTTGGTCCTGCCTACACGAGCTCGCTGAATGTCGCGAAGTTCAGCCGGCGGGTCATCCTTGGGAGGAGATATCGAACGTTCACGATCATCCCATTCAACCTCGCTGTCCCCATCTGCATCCTCGTCGGAGACTCGAGATCTTGACTTGTTGTCCTTGGTCGTAGTATCGCGGCGGCGCAGTTCATCGCGTTTGCCCTTTTGCTCTCGCTGCCTCTTGTACGCTTCGATGGCCTCTGAAGCTTCGCCGACCTTGCGACCACCGAGCGTCGTCTTTTGCCGAGAACTCTTGCGGCTGCCTTCGTCCAAATTCGCAGCACTGGCCTTGCGCTTGTTTTTCTTCGCTTTGCGAGCCTCCTCCCGCTCTCGAGAAGCCAGAAGACGACGAAGAGCAAGATCCTGGCTATGGCGATCTACCTCTTGGGCACGCTCAGACAGAATCTGCTCTCGCTGAATCTCAGGCAAAGCCATAATCTCTTGCTTGTCCTTTGCGGAATGATACAGTTTCTCGTATGGATAGATCGGGCCCTCATCTTCCACTCCTGCGTCCGAACCCTCGGAGTCGGAGGGCGCCTCTGATTCAGACATGCTAGCTGAGTTAAGAGAATCGGCAATAGAACTAATGTTAGAACGTATCCTGTCAGTCCAAGCTCATCACACTAAATCCAGGCGGGAGAGGTAAAAGAGTAAAAACGCACATTTCGCCATCTTCTTCCTCATCTTCGTCTCTGCGCGACTTGCGCGGACGACGGACGGGTTTTGCAGTGCCTTTGCGACCCATAGTGGACGTTGGTTCGGGAGATTGTGGTGAGGAGGAGCGAGCTGGAGATGTGGAAGGAAGCTTGCGGGGAGGGGGGGAAGCCTCTTCATCTGAAGAGGCGTCGTCTCCCGCCAAAGCGAGCAACTCAGCGTCAAGGTCATCGGCCATGGTGAATGTGCTGACAGCCGGGCAGGCGGCTGGAAAGTTCCAAGGTAGTTGTGTTACTAAACTGAATCAGGAAAACACAGATGTCTTAGCGAGGGAGTTCACTGAGTCAGAGTGAAAATCTTGACTGAGATGAAAGTGAGTGAATGGCCCCTGAGCAGCTGTCGCAAAGGGTGTCCTTTGTGGCAATACTTAAACAAGACAGTGTGAAATGAAAGGTTCGCCTAGAAAAGGACACAAAAAATATATCAAGGAGCTTAGGTAGGGCAGAATGTAGCCAGTCTATACTGCAAAGTGAAAGGACTGTTAAACAGAAAAGGCAGGTGAAAGAGTGAAGTCTGGAGGGAACAGCCAGAATTCACTTGGGACAATTCTTGGGGGCCCAGAATGACGTCCAGCCACAGGCCCGCGTGCCGGCCCGAACTGGTGATAGGCGCGCGGCTGTTTTCAATGGGACCACTCACTCCGGCCTCGGGCTTGTCCATGTTCTCATTATTATTATCCCTGCAATATTCATACTCACAGTTGTCAAGATGAAGTCCTTCACAGTGCTGCAGAAATGCTCTAGACCAGCAACTCCGCTGGTCCTAGATTTTCTGGCCCCGTCCACCATCCGCTACCGACAATACCACGCAACGCCATCCTCCGCGGCAGAGCCCCAGTCAAGTCCGAAGCCAAAATATGTCCTCAACAAAAAGCAGCGAGAATTCCTCGAGAGCGCGCTTCGAGTTAATCAAGCCGGCGAATTAGCTGCGACGCTGATCTATACGGCGCAGACGCCGCAGGTCGTCCGCTCGCACCCACACCTACGCCCGTTAATGAAGCACATGTACGACCAGGAAGCCGGCCACCTCAGCACGTTCAACAAGATGATTGCCAAGCACCGCGTGCGCCCGACAGCAATGTACCCGGTGTGGGAAGCTGCAGCGACATTCCTGGGTTGGTCGACGGGCGTCATGGGACGGGAGGCGGCGATGGCCTGTACCGAGGCTGTGGAGACGGAGATCGGTTCGCATTACAACGAGCAGGTCCGGGAGATTCTGTCATGGGAGGCGGATGCGCAGAGTCGTGGGGAGGAGCTGGATGATGAGTTGAAGGATATGCTTGCGACTTTCCGGAGGATCCGCGATGAGGAGCTTGAGCATCTGGATCATGCGGTTGAGAATGATTCGAAGGAGGCGCAGCCGTACGACCCGCTGGTCAATGTTATTCGACTTGGATGCAGGACGGCCATCAAGATCAGCGAACGGGTATGATTGATTAATGACTCGGATTGGCTAGCAATATTGTATACTATTTCTAAACATGTACCATACATATATTGGACTCTTTTTGGCTAGACGGATCCGTGCTGTCCAGCAACAGGAAATCTATTTTGATCTAGCACCATGGGTATACGCATAAAATCCACCAAACTCTAGCTCAAGTCTGGTTCTTCTTCTCCAGGTACTCGACGAAATTCTTCGAGAACCGCACCACCTGCTGATAGACTTCCTCGAAGCCATTCGCCCCACCATAGTAAGGATCCTGAACAACTTCTCCACCTCCAACACGCTCATGCAGGGTTCCCCCCGGCCCATAGTCGCCAAACAAACGCACCTCCGCAACTTTCGCACCAGCCTCAACACTCGCAGTGATCGAGGCAGCCACCGCCGCCCTGGTCCCCTTCCCCCGAGCCACCCGCGCAGTGTTCTTAGTCGACGTCGACAAAATAGATGCGCGCAGCTCTAACAGGTCTTCCAGGTTATACTCGTCCATGGCGAACAGGTAATCGAAGTTAAGGAAATCCTCCAGCGTAACTTTGCGGGCGAGGTGGTGGTAGTTCCGAATGTTATGGCGGCGGAGGGTAGACATTGTGCGTGAGTCCGAGGGCTCGCCGGCGTGGTACGCTCCTGTACCGGCGGAATCGATGGTCTTGATTAGGGGGTGGCTGGCGGCGATGTTGCGGAAGACGCCTTCTGCCATGGGGGAGCGGCCTGTGGCATGGTGAGTTTATGGAGTCGTGGGGAGGGGGTTGCGGATTTTCGTACAGATGTTGCCGAGGCAGACAAATAGGACATTGACCGGTTGGCCATTGGAGGAATTTGGGGTCGTCATTTTCTGTTCTGGAGGTGAGATTGAGAGATCAAGAATCAGAATGCTGCGGTGCGGATGCTTGAATAGCGCGGGGTTTTATCTCCGGGCGTTATCGATAGGGCTGTTATCAGGCATTAAGGCAGAAACATTGCCATTGTGCACAAAGTAGGGTTGCGTACAGCCAGTATACATGATAAAATGATATTATATGCAAACTGGAGCAAGGATAAGCAAATAGTAGCGTATAGCTAGAAGCGTAAGAGCGAATCAACGTCAAATACAGTCTGGGGTAGGATACAGCGTTCTTCCCTCTCCATCCTGATAGCACACAGTCCAAGCATTCCAGCTAATCTTGCCATCTTACGAGTCGAACGGCCATCCGACATGGCCGAGGCTAAACTCTGCGCTTGCTGCAAGCTCGTCTGCTCGAGCCTTTAGCTCGTCAACATCCCAGTTCGTGTATACGAACTTCCCCTTCAGAAATTGGGCCTCGGGACTCGCAAGCCAAACGTTGAAGTTTGCAGGGAGAGAGACTGGGTTCCTTAGGTTAGCATCGTATCTTAGAACATCCAGAGTGGATAATAGTGAGAGTAAGAACTGACCATGGTCCTCGTACCCCAAAGCCTGGATCCCGCCAACAGCCCTATTCATATCCGTATCCACAACGCCCGGCTGTATGTGGTACACACTGAACCCAGAGTTGGCGGAACCCAGAGCCTCCCACAGTCGATAAACTGCCCATTTGGCAACGCTGTACGCTACACCTTTTCCCCCAAAATCCATATAGGCAGACGTGCTATTGACATCAATGATTACCGCATCGTCTGCAGCATGGCGCGAGAAGGCCTGCGCAAGGTGTAGTGCACCGCTGATATTGGCGTTCACGCCTTCGAGAAACACGGTGGCGTCCACGTCTTCAACACCCTCCGTGGGGCCTAATGCTGCGGCGTTGCTGACGAGGACGTCAATCTTCTGGCCGTCGACACCGGCCTCGGAAGTAGAAGAGATGAACTCGTCAAATGCTTTGTCGACTTCGTCTTTCTTGGTTAAGTCCGTAGAGGCGACGAAGACCTGTACCTTATCTCCATAGCCCTTTTCGATCGTTGCCTTGGTGTCCAGGAGGGTCTGAATGCGTCGGCCCAAGAGAGCAATCTTTGATGCTCCTGCTGCCGCAAAAGAGCGGGCTGTCTCGGCCCCGATACCGGTGCCACCACCGGTTATGAGGACTGTCTTTCCTCTTGCAGAGAGCTCAGGGCGTGTAGGGGAGATTGAGGAATAGGAGGTTGAGTGCCATGTGCGAGTCGCGGAGGGGAAGGGGGGTGCCATTGCTGTGATAGACTAGGAAGCTTGATTGAAGATTTCTGTATCTGATCGATGGTCGACATAATCTGGCGTGAGGACTGGCCATTATATATGTGGTGAACGCGGAGTTGTGTAATCTGCCTAAAGGTTAAAGGTGATGCTATACAAAATGTTCCGCCCGCTAGCGCCCGCTCTTCCTAATTAGGGCTAACAGTCGCCGTCATCCTGCTGACAAATGTATCTTACCTTTTGTATTCCCCGATGACCTCTTCAATTTCTCCTTCATTTCCATGCGGGGTAGCTTTATTTGAAGGGCCAAAATGACCGGGGAACAAGAAATACAGTTTGCTCCTGTCCTACGCTGCGGACTGTGCAATAAGCCGTTCGATAAGCGTGAATTTCCACATCTACCAGCCCGCACCGAACCGCTCGGCTGACACCGCGTTTAGAGAGTACATTGAAGAGACACGGATACTACTGTCGCTCTCGAGGGGGTGGTCGTACGGCTAGATCTCGTTCATGCGTTTCATGTGCGAAGAGGAAAGCCCGGTGCGATAACCGGCGGCCTGGGTGCTCGCGGTGCTTGGCCAAAGGCTTTGATTGTCATTATCCAGCAGCGACATCGCCTATAGCACAAGGAGTAAGGGCCAGTACCAACCATGGCAATTACCCATCTTCGTTGCCAAGTTCTCCACCTGATCTCCATAACGATCAAGAGAATGGTGACAGGCTAGGTGCTCTCGACATAGCGGACCCAAGCCTGACGGCTCTGAATCTCCTAGGGACAGATGGAGAGGATCTTCCCACCTGGAATACGTACGATATCGAATTTCCGCCCAACTTTGATGACCTAGAGTTCGACTTTTTGAGTGCCATCCCGGAGGTGAACAAAACATTGGGGAACCAGCACTCATTGCCAGCCAATGTCCAGCCACCCTATCCCCAGGTCTCAGTTCCATCACCTCTGGCCCTTCCAAGGCTCCTTACCCGCAGGCCGGAGTCAGTTACCGGCGGCAAAAGAACGACGCACCTCATCCTGCAGACATTAAAGTCGTACGTCTATATGATGCTCCATGAGAACGCCCTTCCACCCTTTATTCACGCACGTTCGATATCTCAGCCAGTCGACAAGAATTCTCAGGAGTATAGCCCAATGGGGCCTCTGGATGCCAGCTTGAACATTTTGCGGGCCATCAAGAACTCTGACGGTCGACAATCATTTTGGAACCACGTCCGCACACAATGTGAACAACTGTGCTCGGAACAGCATCGGAAGCTCGATAATTGGGAGCTACTAGGCGCAATGCAGGCTCTCTGCATATATATCCTGGTCAGGCTGGATGAGGGGGAGACGAATGAGAATAATCTGGACTTTCTGTTGTTGGCCGGTGCGACTGTAGGTCGTTACCGTTTCCTCTCTGTTCTAGCGTCCCGGGACCATCGAGGAATGATATTAATGGAACATGACGACAGGTGCTAGCTAATAAGCTCGGTGGCATTTATGCCTTGGACGACAGGGCCTCTTCGTTTTGCGGTGATAATAACGAGTCCACCTGGGACGAATGGATTTTTGAGGAATCGAGGCGAAGGTACTCTTCTCTGTCCAGCAGGGGTTTCCGAAGACAGAGACGCTAACATCAAAAAGAGTATCGATCATATATCGCATCATCAACATACTCACCTACTTCCAGCCAGCAGCTAAGTGCGATCTCCCAACAGATCTGATTTTAGCACCGCTGCCGGCAAAAAAGCCGCTCTGGGAAGCTAACGACTGGGCCCTATGGAAGATTGAAGCGGGAAAAGAACCAACGGTGCAGCAGACGGCCTTTGGGCTTGCTAGGTCTGGGGAGCTAGTCCGCCTGGATAAAGCCCATGGCCAGGGCGGACTAGGTCGGGAAGGCGGGATATCTCATCTAGCGTTAGATGCGGCGAATGTCTCGAGGAGTTCTGCGAATTGGGAGGAGTGGTGCTCCGGGATGGACGCATTCGGGGGCCTGGTCATGCTTGCTGCTGCTTTGGTGGCATGAACTGCCAGGACCGAAAGCATCATCAAGGATAATAGAGTCCCAGCCTTCCAATATCTATGACCAAGACAATACTCGTCCTCCTCCGGTGGATATCAATAGTAGATTGGCTAAAGTATTCAATTGAGCCCAGGGATGTTGAATTCTCGAGACGGATTTATGAAGCGGTATTGCCCCAGGGGTGCAGTAAGGCTTGTTTGTAGCATTTCCCGGCCACTTGCGCATATCGGCCAGCCACGCCTAAGACGATGAAGATTGACAACTCAACCTCGGCATCTTGATTGGCATATGCGAGGTAGAGACTTCCAATATCACGCAGTATTTCGGTCGCAATAAGTATAGAGATCGGAGGGTATTTATTCTCTGTGGCAGCCCTTGAAGGGTTAGCGGTCGGAGTTGATCCAACATCTACCCCGCGTATCGGTTCATGACAAACATTTTGGTGTGACAAGCTGTGTAACCCCGAGTCAGCCGACATTCCCGACGAAGGATGCAGTGCTAGGCTCCAGGATAGATAAAAAAAGAACTGCAGGAACATGCAGAGTCCACGAAGCGAATCAAGATCCAGTGCACCGCGCCACAGTCGGACGTGGCTGTGCGGGCTCAGGTCCTGCCGAATCGCCGGTTGGCCCAGCGACGGAAGTGGGGTCAGTTGTCAGCCGATCCTTGGGGGCCGTTAATTCGACTGCTGGACCCATGGATGTTCGCGATGTTCAATGTTCATTGTCGGGTGGACTGGGAGTCGTTTCAGGGGATCCGCGTTGTAAGAGCTGTGGGAGCAGTCTCGCATGCATAGGTACGGTCTGCTACATGAGCTGCAACGATTTTCGCTGAGAAACAACCATCGAGCACCCGCAAGCTCCTCGGACTGAGTAGTCTACCGTCTACGGAATACGTATGACGATAAGCCAACTATTTTCAGATCAAGATTTAGACTCTTTTTCTGCCCCAGATCCAGAGGCTAGGCACCTTGGAATACTATCTGTGGCGCGGCACTCTCTCTCCACTTGGCGCTCGTTGCCCCAGTCCACCGTCAATAGTCAGTCAACCTGGAAACAGCCGCGCCCTCTACCCAGCCCAAGCTTCATCGTCGTCATTGCTCTGTTCCCCTCCATATTTCTTGCATACTCACGGCGTCTCTTTTCTTCGTTGTCTCTGCTTGTTGTCGACCTTTTCAAGCCCCCGCCATAGAAACGGGTCCAAGCTTCAGCGCTTTGTCGCATTCCACCTTTGCTTTGGAGAGGAATCTCAAAGGGGTCGCGCATTATTGGAACGGGCTGATCGCTCAATAGTCGGCCGCCGACATGTCCTATAATCGCTTGGGTAAGTACACCATTGATTTCTTTCTCCTCCTGCTGCTTAGCTGTTCTGTCGTCACATTGCGCGGCTCCTCTCGGCATCGAATTTCCCTCGCAAGTCTGAAACTCTAGCTTCCGACAAATCGCAACCCCAAAGAGGGGGTCTTTGGCGTACTCGTACTAGGATCATAGCGCGAGCCCCTGGCCTTTCCTCAGTTTCATAATATCACAGCTGTCCACCTCTGTGCTTGCTGTTCTTTCTTATCTCTGCTCTCGTTCCTGCGCATGCTTGGCCGCGGCAGCCCAATTGACATCCGAACTTAGGAGACCCCTACGGGGACGACCACGACGCACACGACGCTCGCTCGCCCATAATGAACCCTAGCAATTTAAGCAGCAATCGGTCGCCTTCGCCCGGGCGACCGCTCGACGGCTACCAGCTTACGGACGGTCCGTACGGACATGAGCACCACATAGAAATGCCCTCAAGCGACCGATTGGCGGAACAACCTACGGTAAGGTAACCAGGGATCGTGTCGTTCTATACAGAGACTAATATGTTGCTCGATAGTTCTCGGTCGAGAGGCTTCCGCAGTCCTATGGCCACAACGAAATTTATGAGGCACAGCACCAACAACATTATCCAGGCTACGAGTACACCGTCGACCCAGAGGCACACCACGACGCTTATTATACCCAACCCTACCAACCTACAGTCACACCGGGTCATGAAGATTACGATCTCGGCCAATACCCGGGACACCAGCATTCTTATCACGACGATGAGCCGATTCTCCAACCGGAAGACCCCTTTCAAGCGCAGAACCCGTACAGCGATGATTACCAGGAGGACATGACGATTGCGCCTACGCCGAGTCCTGCTCCTCTCCGACGATGGAAGACTGTTAAAGAGGTCCAATTGTTCCAAGGCAACCTCGTCCTTGATTGCCCTATCGCCCCAAAGCTACTCAACCAAATTCCTCATGCGGAGAACGGTCAGCGCGATGAGTTCACGCACATGCGCTATTCGGCCGCTACTTGCGACCCAGCGGATTTCTTCGAGGAACGGTTCACCCTGCGCCAGAAGCTTTTTGCCAAACCCCGACACACAGAGCTGTTCATTGTAGTTACCATGTACAATGAGGATGACTTCCTTTTCGCGAGAACCATGGTCGGTGTATTCAAGAACATAGAGCACATGTGTTCAAGGACTCGAAGCAAAACCTGGGGCAAAGACGCATGGAAAAAGATCGTGGTTTGCGTTATTAGCGATGGTCGTGCGAAGATCAACCCGCGAACTCGCGCTGTGCTGGCTGGTCTGGGTTGTTATCAGGATGGTATTGCTAAGCAGCAAGTCAACGGCAAGGACGTCACGGCGCATATCTACGAGTACACGACTCAGATCGGTATGGAGTTAAAAGGAAGTCAGGTCCATCTCAAGCCTCGCTCCGGGGTTCCAGTGCAAATGATTTTCTGCCTCAAGGAGAAGAATCAGAAGAAGATCAACTCGCACCGCTGGTTCTTCCAGGCGTTTGGCCGTGTACTTGACCCCAACATTTGCGTTCTGCTTGATGCTGGTACTCAGCCCGGTAAGGATTCGATCTACCGTCTGTGGAAGGCTTTCGATGTTGAGCCGATGTGTGGCGGAGCTTGTGGTGAGATCAAGGTCATGTTGGACCATGGAAAGAAGTTGTTTAATCCGCTGGTCGCGGGACAGAACTTCGAGTACAAGTTGAGTAACATTCTTGACAAGCCCTTGGAGTCGGCTTTCGGATTCATTTCCGTGCTTCCGGGTGCCTTTTCTGCCTATCGATACATTGCGTTGCAGAACGACAAGAATGGTCAGGGTCCTTTGGAGCGGTACTTCCTTGGTGAGAAGATGCATGGTGCCAACGCGGGTATCTTTACTGCCAACATGTATCTGGCCGAGGATCGGATTCTGTGTTTCGAGATCGTCACCAAGCGCAACTGTCGCTGGCTACTTCAATACGTCAAGTCCTCGACTGGTGAAACCGATGTGCCGGATCAGATGGCGGAGTTCATCCTCCAACGTCGTCGGTGGCTGAACGGTAGTTTCTTTGCGGCCGTTTATGCTATTACCCACTTCTATCAGCTTTGGCGTAGCGACCACAGCTTCATTCGGAAATTCATGCTGTTGATCGAGACAATATACCAGACGATCAATATGCTGTTCGCTTGGTTTGGCATTGTATGTTCTCCTTACGGGCGAATTGGAACCTACCCACTGACCGCTTACAGGGTAACTTCTTCTTGGTCTTCCATATCCTCACAACGTATCTCGGCGACGCAGACCTCCTGGGAACTGCTGGTAAGGTCCTAGGAGTCGTATTCGAATGGCTTTATCTCGCGACTTTGGTGACCTGCTTCGTTTTGTCTCTGGGTAATCGTCCTGGTGGTTCCAACAAGCTCTATATGACGATGGTGTATTTCTGGGTTTTCATCATGATCTACCTCGCGTTCGCTGCAGTCTTCGTGACGGTGCGGTCCATCCAGGAAGAAGTTGAGGATGGCACATTTACCTTCTCGACGTTATTCACCAACAGCACTTTCTTCTCGATCATTGTCTCGCTGGGCTCGACCTATGTCATGTGGTTTGTTGCCTCCATCATTTTCATGGATCCGTGGCACATGTTCACTTGCGTAAGCTTCAGCCCTATCAGTCGACGTTTTATGACTCTGACATGTCCAGTTCATCCAATATATCCTCCTCACACCAACCTATATCAACGTTCTCAACATTTACGCTTTCTGTAATACTCACGACATTACTTGGGGTACGAAAGGTGACGACAAAGCAGAGAAACTGCCGTCAGCGAACCTTAAGCCGGGTGGTAAAGTCGATGTCAACATCCCGCAGGACGACGGTGACCTCAACGCCCAGTACGAGGCGGAGCTCATGAAGTTCTCTCAGAAGCCACTCAAGGAGGTCAAGACCATCTCTGAGGAAGAGCGCCAGGCGGACTACTATAAGGGTTTCCGTTCTTCTGTCGTTCTGGTCTGGGTTTTCTGCAATTTCGCCCTAGGTGCCGTTGTACTGAGCTCGGCCGGCTTGGATCGCTTCAGCGACAACGCGGAAGACGCGGAGACGGATCAGAACAATCGAGCCATGATCTACATGGCTGTTGTGTTGTGGAGTGTGGCAGGTCTCTCGATTTTCAAGTTCCTTGGTGCGATGTGGTTTTTGGTTGTGCGGTTGGTGAGTTCCCCTTCGACTCTGCTCTAATATCAGCTCTGCCTAACATCACCTTTCTAGTTCCGCGGTGTCTAATCTACTCGTCCCATCATATATGTTATGTCATAACCTCCAAGCATTTACTAGCGGGTGGTTTCTCTTTCTCTGCAGGTTCAGCATGTCGCAATGATGATAAAGAAAATATGGCTTACGGAATGCTTTCAAATTATGTCTGGTTTACGGTGTTCTATGTTCCGGCCGGAGGCTGGGTATTTATGTGTTTGTATGTAGATGACCGTTGATACCTCCAATGTACGATTTCTTGATGTATGATCTGATCTGGCTGTTTTTGTACTTGTGCTGTTGCGATGGCTTGTTCTAGGGGGTCGGCCTCGATTATTATTGTGCTGCTGCTCTGTTTGTTCTTTCCTATTGCTGCTCTCCGTTTAGAATCTGAACTAGGGCCGTGAAAAAACGTGCTTGGTCGATTCCATTGCGTGGGAAATGCGCCGTGGTGCGCCTCTATTCGCTGATCTGCTACCGGAGATCCAGTAGATGCTAAACCGTGTCTAATCTGCAGGGCTGGGCTCATTGATGCCGTTCCTGGTTTGTATGGACTCCAACCGGATCTGGTTCTGCCAGGCATGCGCGTGGCCAACCCACGTGTAGATACTACCCATAGCCTTTATGAAGCTAGCGTTCTATGTATCATTAGCTTTGCTCGGTGTCCCGTAACCCCTACTTACCGGATACTGAGGACTCTGTTGGTCGGGAATTGCGAAGATATATGTAGAAAACAGCGTGATGCATGAGAGCTGCGAGATAGTTAATGGGCGAGCTAGGTCCTCAACGGCAGAGATCTAGCTAGTTTAATAAGAGATGAGCCCAAGCAACTGTCCCGAAGTCCCTGTAAAGCGTAGCAACAATGTCGAGTCCAAAACACTGGAGCATGAATGGAGAGTGGTGAGTGGAGAAGTTTAATCCGAGTTAGGGCTAAGTTTATGTTTTGGGCTATAGAATTAAAAATAGGTCACTCTTTCAATAAGAAGCATCATTGGTCTAGTGGTAGAATTCATCGTTGCCATCGATGAGGCCCGTGTTCGATTCACGGATGATGCAGTTGATTTTTTTTCCTGCTGTACTACACAACCTATGTGATGCAAAGGCGATGTCTTTTTTTGTGGTTATTATGCCAGGTCTATATACGCACGCATGATATATTATAGGTACCGAGTCCAGCTCGATTTGTTCATCACGACTTTGACTTGACGCAAATTGCAATCCCGCCTAGCACCAGCGCCATCCCCAGCCATGTCTCCCGCGCAATGACCTTCTTCTCCACATACCACTCGCCTAGGACCGTGAAGAGGAATGCGCTCGAGTTTGCGAGGGGGACGGTCAGCGAGAGTTCTGTAGGGTCGCCTGTTAGTCGACTAACCCACTGCCAATGGGGGAAGGCTGGGTGTATACGCACCATGCTTCCCAACCAAGAGGAAGAACCACACGCTCCCTGTCAGATTGATCACCAGCGGCACCGAGTACGCTGGTGTGCGGAGAAGGTTAACGACCGTCCAGAAAACCGAGACGATTTTCATTTTGAGCCAGGATGAGGATGAGGAGGGTTGGTTCATCCAGGCTGGGGTTGGTTGCGCCGTTGCTGAGGGATCCGAGGGCGGCGGAGGGAGGGGTTGGTCTTCGTCGCTTGAGCTTGAGCTTCTGCCATCATCGTCATGATCATCGGTTCGAGGTTGGTGTGTAGGCTGGAGCTCTGTTTGTTGAGCTTCTTGCTGCTGCTCTTGTCGCGCTTGGAAGTCCGCTGCTGCGCGGCGGATAAAGGGGGTCGTGAAGCCCCATGCTACCCCGACGAGGAGGAATGAGAGAATGTAGTTGAAGACAGGGGGCTCATCGGGCGTTGCGATAGCACTATCTGGGCCCATGGTGGCGGACTTGCTTGATGTCGCTGTAGTCGCTCCGTAGTCCGTACCGTAGTGTCTGTACTGCGGAGCTGAGCGGGTTGCTCTCCGCATACACGTGATCTAAGTTGGTATGCTATAATCTAGGTTATGGCGTAGGTGCTCCGTAGGTCCAAGGCTCCAAGCCAGCCACTTTTCCCTAGCGAACAGTATCCTTGCAAGGTCATATGCAGGAACGATTTAGTGCCCACTGCCCAGATGAGCTTCCACCCAAGGTTAAGAACTGAGCCAGCCCTGGCCCATAGTAGCGCGTCGTACTCAGTAGTGGGTCACGAGTTGCAGGCGTAAGTGCATCAAGAGTCGGGCTCTCTACGATCTTGTGTAAGCAAACAGCTTGCATACCATACATATCCCGAGATAAATGCTGCCTAATATACGGAGTATCCTTGGCTCTGTGAAACAAGCCTATACGCGAAGCGAATCCAGGGCGTGGAATCGCAGCACAAAGGGGGCTACACAACAAGGCGAGACCGCCCTTTCCTTCGTATCAGAGCCGGACGAGCCCTGACATGGGCCGTGCATTTGCTGACAAGAGAAATCGAGGCCCCGGAAAGGTTAGTTGACGTCCATTTTTTTTTGCCTCGCCTTTGCACAAAGGCCAGCGGGCGATCTCGAGAGTCGGGCTCGCGGCCTTGAAATGATTTCGATGTCTGAGTTAAGATTATCGGCCCCAGTCTGACTAGCTGGATCGGGTTAGAGGTCTTGTTAGTAGAAATGACTTCAGAGAATGCTATTTTAAGCATCTATAGCTGTTCAGATCCTTGATGGTTGTGATTGATGCCGAGGAGGTTGATTGTGTATGTGGTTGGGATCTTGACACAAGGTATATCCAGGTCAATTCCCCAGACTGAACAGCCAACTTCAGTCGGCTCGAGGCTTCGAGATCGGCATCACGTGGAATATGAACCGGTTCCCTGATTACATCAGCCCCACTCAACGGCCAACAATAAGATGAGGCCATGAAGATCGCTGCAGTAAACCTGGTCAGGAACTGTGCATGAAGAAACCGAGGGAGAGAAGAGTATAGAACCCATGGATGTAGAATATGGGAGTCTAGGTTCCTCGCTTACTCTGGATGACCAGGATGCCATGGCTGCCCACAGTTCAGAGATCAAGACCCCGGCCACTTCTGTAACCCCAGAATCCTCCCACGCATGGACTGAGACGGATCACATCTGCCGCGCGGAAAACGTATCCCCCGAATATGCAAGACATCCTGGGTTCCAAGTTCATAAGAAGTTTAGACGTTGGAGTGGAAGGGAGACTGAGAACATAGATATAGACACTCACGATCCAATTGGTAGAACGCTCGACCCAAAGGGACAGCTTTCTTTTTCGTAGTTCTCGAGTGAGACTGAAATGCAGCCATTCCGAGTATGATAATTGGGTGTTCTGGCGGTGTCGTGCCCCTAAAGGACCAGCCAAGGGGAATTATCTAAGCCACTTCTGGGGAGTTGAAACGCCGGAGTCGCTCGTTCTCTCCTGCCCCTTCTTCCTCTCCGGCCAGTCCACCAGCTCCCTAACCCCCGTCCTTCTTGACCTCCCTCGCCCTTTGCGATAGAGATTGGATCTGCTCGCCTTGTCCTTTCTTGTTTTTCTTTCTCTGCTCCCGGGGCGCTTTCGTTCTTTTCTCCGCTTTTTCCACCCTTTATTTTTTTTGCTACTATCGGCCGCCCATGCCCCTTGGACGCCGAAATCGAGGCTGCACAAACTAGCTCCAACAAAAGGAGAAGCCCACAACAGCTCATTTTTGCCTGGCGCTGAGCGGCTTAGGGTCGTTAGTACTTGGATGCACACGGTCGAGCATCAAACCGAACGAACAATCGCCGTCACTTGAGTCTCGGCCAGCAACACTGTCCGGCTCGTTAATAGTAACTTCTAATTCTAACCTGCGCATTAGCTGCGTACCGCATTCCTTACTATTCCCAGCCTGGCGCACACTTCCTTCGCTCCTTTCGTACCATTTGCTTCGCCCATCTCAAAGCATTGAGATTGTTGCTTCCTTGACGAGACGTTGAAGGGGATTGTCGGATTCTTCCTTCCACCAAATTCCCGCCCTGCCCTATCCACGAACCGTTCACGATATAATTCTTTCACGATGGCATTCCTCTTTAAGTCGAAGAAGAACCAGCAGGCTTCTGGCCTACCACCCGCAACGAGAAACGTCCATACTTCTGAAGGAGCACCCGCGGGCTCTGGAGCCGTGCTCAACGGGTCGAAAGATGGGATGGCCATATCGCAGACGCCGACGCCCAGCGGTAGCTACAATAACTCCTTGAACTCGGTCACTAGCACCAACAGTCCGGAACAACAGCGGATGCGGCAACGAGCTGAGTCCGAATCCCAGGTTGGTCCCCTACATAACCGGGCTTCCAATCCCCGCTAGGTGTTCCGCGGGTTATTATCCTTCCAGGTATACTGACATGCGTAGGCCCAGCGTCCCCAGCAATCTTCGTCTCCAGTCTCCAGCCCGGGTTCCTCCCTTTATCCGTGGTCCCAACGCCGATTAAACTTCTCATCTCCGCAAGCGAACCCTTTCCCACGATATGGTGCAGCAATCAATGCGGTGGCTTCGAAAGAAGGCGATGTCTACATGATGGGTGGTTTAATAGACGGGTCAACTGTAAAGGGCGATCTTTGGATGTTGGAAAGCAGCAGCGGGAACCTGTCGTGCTTCCCGATTGCGACGGTTTCGGAAGGGCCAGGACCTCGTGTTGGCCACGCGAGCTTGCTAGTCGGCAATGCTTTCATCGTCTTCGGCGGTGATACCAAGGTGGACGAGAATGATACGTTGGATGACACGCTATACCTGCTAAACACTTGTAGGCTATATGCTCTTGGTTCTGTTGTTGGAAGCAATTGCTAACCATTTTCCTTATAGCCTCCCGGCAATGGTCGCGCTCAATCCCCCCAGGCCCTCGGCCCATCGGACGATACGGTCACACTCTGAATATTCTAGGCTCTAAACTCTACGTTTTTGGAGGACAGGTGGAGGGTTATTTCTTCAATGATCTGGTTGCGTTTGACCTAAACCAGTTACAAAACCCCAGTAATAAATGGGAATTTCTCATTCAGAACAGCCATGAGGGCGGACCCCCACCTGGTCAAATACCCCCTGCGAGAACGAATCACACAATCGTCAGTTTTAATGACAAACTATACCTGTATGTGGTGTCATTTCTGTTTTCACAACCCCATTCGCTCACTTTGACAGGTTTGGAGGAACGAACGGATTGCAGTGGTTTAACGACGTTTGGTCATACGATCCGAGGAGCAACAGCTGGGCCCAGCTCGACTGTGTCGGATTCATTCCGACGCCTCGAGAAGGACATGCGGCTGCCATTGTTAACGACGTAATGTACGTTTTCGGTGGCCGGACTGACGAAGGTATCGACCTTGGTGATCTCGCCGCTTTCCGCATCAGCACCCGACGATGGTACTCTTTCCAGAACATGGGTCCAGCACCTTCTCCGCGATCTGGTCATAGCATGACGGCTTTTGGGAGACAAATTATTGTCCTGGCGGGCGAGCCGAGCTCGGCCCCGAGAGACCCAGTGGAGCTCAGTATGGCATATATGCTTGACACATCAAAGATCCGTTATCCTACGGACAATCCAAATGGCGAGAAAGCACCGCTCTCGGGGCCCACCAAGACCGGGGCCGGAGACAAACAGGTCGCGCCATCGGGGCGGGCATCCCGTGAAGCTCAGAATCAACCGCCAGATCAATACCGTCGCGGATCGGGACCTCCGCGAGAAAGCGTGGTCAGTCCTACCGGCCGGCAGACGGAGCTGGGTCCGGGTCCAGGTTCTCGATTACCACGGGCGTCCATCGCCAACGCTCCTGCCGGGCCTCCGCCGCCTGGACAGGCCCCTACCCCTGGGCAGCGAGGTAACGCACCGCGAGATGGCAACAATTTCAGAAGCAAGACGCCACCAACAAAACCGGAGCGTGGATATGGTGGACCTCCAATCGATACGACTCGCGCCGTAACTGGTGATAGAGATAGGGATTTTGCACCGCGGGACTCACCGAAAGACCCCAGGAATGGGCCAGAGTCCAATGGCCAGCGGACTCCCACCCAACAGTCCCAAAGAATGTCGGCGAGAGCTATGGAGGCCGGGGAAGCTGCTCCTCTCATGGCACCGGCTCGGCAACGATCTCTCCGCCAGCGCCAGCGGAGTTCCATGGATAGCGCTGATGAGTCCGTCCTCGGTCGCCACGCAAGTATGGATGGATCAGTGGACTCGCGAACTCACAGGAACTCCAGGGCAGGGGAAGAACCTCGCTCACCGCGGCTGACCGCCCATCAGGAGGCATTGCATAAAGAGCTCGAGGCTCTTAGGAGTCGGAATGCTTGGTACGCCTCCGAGCTCGCATTGGCCAAGAAATCTGGGTATACGCCTAATATCTCGACAAACTCCGTGCTGGACGAACGGACATCGGATGCTTTCGCTGACGAGGACCGCCCCTTAATCGAAGCGTTCCTAGCAATGAGAGCAGAGCTAACCAAGATGCAAGCCACCGTGGATCGACAAGCCGCGATTGCATCTAAGCGCGTAGCCGAGGTTGAGCAGCAAAGAGACGTTGCCGTGAACGAGGCTGCTTATGCCCGCGCCAAACTCGCCGCCCACGGCGGGAGTCAGCAAAGCACACCATCGCTGGATGGACAGTCTCAGGACCTTGACAAGGCAGCATCTGATCGCAGCACAGATCTTAGTCGCAGGTTGGCCTTGGCACTTGCGTCTTACAACGAACTCAAGTCGAAACTGGAAGCAGTTACGACAGATCTTGACCAGGAGAAGCGTGGCAGGGAATTGGCAGAAGAGACTTCCGAAGCTACCAGGAGAAGGCTGGCCGAGCTGGAAATGCAAAACAATCCTTTGGAAACTGAAAGCTTGCGCGCCCAACTACACCAGATTGAGGCATCTCTGAGGGAAGAGTCGATCTTGCGTTCGGAAGCTGAATCGTCATCAAAACAGTTGACCTTGGATAAAGAGGAGCTGTCAAGGAAGCTCGAGGATTCTACCAATCGTCTGAGGGATTATGGCGATAATATTGGTGGTTTGAGAGAGGCTGTAACCGCATCCGTGGAGAAGGCTTCCATCCTGGAAAAGAAATTGGACGAGGAACGCGAGCGACGTGAAGGGTTGGAGAGAAAATTGCTGCAGCTGAGGTCTGAGCACGAAGAACGAACGGCTGAGCTGGAGAACGCAACACGCCGCCTCCGAGATGCAGAAGAGTTGGCTGAGAGTCATGCCAGAGAAGCCGAAACCCATAAAAATGCATTCATTTTGGGTCTCGAGCGAGCTTCGTCGTTTGACTCTGAAACCTCAATACGCTCACTTGTCGATCAACGAGTGGCTAGTTCCGAGGCACAGGTGGAGAGGGCTAATAAGTTGGCGAAAGCCAGTCAAGCTGCTGCCGATGAAGCAGTCGAGAAACTGCGCCGCGCGGAGGAGAGAATCGCAGGTCTGGAAGCCTACCAAGAGCAGGCTAGTAGGGAAGGTCTGCAGCTTCGGCGACAACTCCAGGCAGCGATGAAAGACTGCCAAACCTTTACCACGGAGAACCGAGAACTGAAGGCTAAGATTGAGACCCACCAGAGGGAGGCTGGAGCCTTGGCTGTCCAGCATACCGCTCTGAAGGACCTCCTTGGTGAACGCGGTTACACCGATAGTAGCCGCTCTCCTCGCATAGAGTCCCCTGGTTCTCGATTTGGCACTCCAGAGCAAAATCGACTCAGAGAATTGGAGCAACAGCTCTCGACGAGCATGAAGGCTCATGATGAGTTAAAGGCATCATTCGAGACGCGTGAACAAGAGACCGATCGTGCTTACAGAGAAAAGCTGGAACAACTCGAGAATGACTACCAATCTGCCGTTCACTACGTCAAGGGCACTGAGAAGATGCTGAAGCGGATGAAGGACGAGCTTACTCGGTACAAGGCGCAGAATGCAAGGATCCAGTCCGAATTGGAAGCCGCCCAAAGCCGAGAGGGCTCAGAGACACCGTCAGGATGGGAGGCTGAACGATCCGAGCTTCAACAATCACTGGCCGATTTACAGCGAGACACGTCGGTTTCTATTGCCAACCTTGAGGATCAGATTACGAGTCTGAAAGAGAGTCTAGCGTCCTCCGAGGCAGAAAAGGAGAAATCCGTTGCAGAATATGAATCAATAAAGCAGGAACTTCTTGCGGTCACTGAGAGGAGTCGCTCGGAGCTAGAGCAACTAAAGGACGAGAACTCGTTGCTTGAATCTCGCGCAGTAGATGCCGAACAAAAGGTTTCCATGCTCCTGGACCAGGTTGAGGCTTCTGTTGGACATTATCGGCGGCAGTCGCAGCACGGTGGTGCCAACGGGATCTCTCGCACTCACAGCAACGCCTCCAGCGGTACAATCGGAGCTGGGACACGACGGTCCAGGGCTAATAGTGCCGTGTCGCAGGATGATACCTTCCTCGACAACCGTGGCTCCATGGCCCTCGACTCGCTGGCGAACGAGTTGGAAGCTCTACGCAGCCACTGGGAGAGTACCAATAGCAACTATCGGTTAAGCACCCAGTCGGACTTTGACCGCACCCCAACCAAGGACTCCGGGCTCAGCGACAGCCTGGCAGAATGGAGACGACGACTGGACGAAGAAGAAGCGAGAGCAGGCTCTCCGGAAAAGAGTAAGCTTCGCAATGCTGCCGAAGGACATGCACCAGCGAATATGATCTAAAGAGCCCGAGAAGCATTGATGACTTGTCTATATCCGATTGGGAGTTATACAATGATGTCTAATCACGTTGATTGGTCTTTGAGCCTCTTGCGACTGTTCATCTGCTGCACATACCTGTGTCTTTGTTAATCTTACTATTTTTGTATTACCTTGTGATGGGCCAAGGCTTGTCATTTATGTGTTTTCTCCATCTGTCTTTTCAATGTTCCGTCTTTCAATTTCCTCTCATCATTATTCTTTATACCCAATCCATATATTTCCTTGCCTGAAGTGTACTATTACCCCTTTCTTCCAATTGACGATGTCCCTGTCTGATCTATATTCGGTTGATTATCGGTGACAATGAACGTTGCTTCTTGTCTCTTCTCATTTTCTGCTCCCTGCTAGCTGCTTAAGCCCGTCCACCTGGCCTGCCCTTGTAGTTGTCTGGACTACTGCCAATATCAGGTATTTATGGATGACCTGCCTTACCTTGTACCGGCTTTTCATTGTCACAGGCGACAAGCACGGACACCACCTCGACCTCGTACGAAGGGTTCCTTACTTTCCTAAGAACCATGGAACGTCAGGAGTTTTCCGCTGCTTGAATGAAGGCAGACACCTAATAATAGCAGACCAACGGTGAATCTCTAGAGCCTTGACCTGCTCAAACCACCCCGCTGGATTCCCCAGCCCATTGGGTGCCAGTGTAGTACCGGCGTGGGTTCGTCTACTGAGATGCATGGCTTTGAGCTACATATAAGTCCTTCGGGTTGGTTGATCTTTGAGCATGGTGCTGTGACACTGACAGGGGTCTGATAGAGGCTACTCTATAGACAGGCTGTCTTCTAAAGTTTGAACAATAATTAAGTTGGGTAGCTCTGGTTGTATACATACCGAGAGTAGAAGCAACACTTTTTGCGGATCGTTATAAATTGTGGAGTCCGCCCGCCTTGCTAATCAACAGGCGCAGCACACACGCCTTGCGCAGCCTGCGTCAATATCATTGAGCTTACAGCCGATACAACAATCGGCACAACCAACACAGTCACAGCAGTAACTGCCTATCACCAAACAGTCTGTGTCTTCTGGAAAAGTATTAGTCCTTTCAGGGTCCGGCCGAATATGGGAAACGCCTGTGGAAGTGAACAGCAGAAGGCACCTAGACGGCTCCAGAGCATCTCCAATTTGTCAAGAGCTTCGGTGGCTCTGTTCCGCGATACCTTTCCCTGACCCTTGCCGCAATGACAACGGGTCCAGAAATCGCCATATATCATAATGCGTTCTGAGGACAGGTGGGCTTCTGCTGACAGCACGAGCGCAAACATGCTCCGTCGTCACTACCGGCTTGCCTGGTGCTGTGGCCGTGGTATACTTCCTCGTCGTGGAGAATGACCTCGATATTGGTGTTCGGCCAGGGCCCCCGGAACAAGAACGAGAACAAGGACGGCAGCTAGCCCGGCGAAACGCATCGAGCAAGGAGCATGAGGCTGTAGCAGGCTATTATACCTTACCAACCTCCACTACCCCGTTGTTCTCCTACGAGGCCGTCAAACTGATGCACGCATGATGTCGAATCTATGATCAGACAACCATCATCACCACCCTCAAGAAGCAGGTCTGGACAACCAATGAGTTCCCCAGAGACCTTTAAAGACCTTTTGGTGCCCACAGGTATCGAGCTTGACAGCCAGTTGCGGATGCACGGGTAAGGATAAGCTTCGAGCGTCGTGACGCAGGAGCAGAACGTCAATAACCAAATGGTAGTGCGGCCGAGGACCTCGTCTTTGGAGCTGTGCTACCTAATCCCGATGGCATTCTTCTTGGTATGGAAGGATAGGCTGAGCATTGCTGATTTTGTCCATGATAGATGTGATGGGAAGAATGAAATAAGTCCGGTAGACCGAGGTTCCTTGCCAGTTAACTGCACACAAAGAAAATGATAATAATAATGAGCTGCATACTCCGTATTAATAATAGCTCGACGTCCAGACAATAATAGATCGAACGAAACAAGCGGCGCTAAGTTGATGGTTCTCCGTGCACAGATCGGTCGTGTTCCTCCAGAGATCAAAGCTCGAGCTTAAGCAGGTGCAAGTGCAGATCCCGGCGTTCGTTCCTCTGGGAGTACATAGTATACATACTGTCACACTGTGGTACGGAGTACTGCCTGCAGAGCCCAGGGCTGGATGGAGGCTGGAGCGCATCAAATCAATGGAGTGGTTGGCGCAGGGCGTTGGGCAACAAAGCTAAGATGCATGTCAGAATAGCGGTGTATGCGCGTATTTATGGTATGGAAGAAGTAAGATCATCTGATTGATGCGTGGGATGCACAACAAGTCCAAAAGGAAGGAAGTCTGGATTATAGGTATCGTTCGGGCTTTGGTCAGGTGTTAATTAATATGGCAGCCCGACATCCCAGTTGGAGTCCTGCTCTGCGACTGGCCAGGTTGGAGGACATCACGCCTTTTGACAGGGCGGATTTACCGCGACGCCACCGCGGATTGCGCTTTCGGTGACTGCCGGGTCAACAGTGCAACACTGGATCTAGGGGAGATCTGTAGGAGGTCATGGAAGTATTGATCTTAGGCTTGAAACGCTCTTGGAGTGAATGGCTGGACGGGAATAAAATCAAAAGATCTGTGAATTGTAGACTGGCAGTGTATGATTGGCGTATTCAAGAGGGGTGAATCTTCAGTAGTCTGGCCTGAGTCTCAGTGTGAGTTCCCGCCTCCAAGCCAGACCAAACCAAATTCCCTCAACTCTTCTCTTCTCTCCTTCCTCGACTCCCTTCCTCCCTCCCACCTTCCCCGATATCAAGGGCTCTGTCCTTGTTCTTCAACTCTGACTATTTTCCGAGCATTTGCACTTCTCTCTCCCACTGCTTTTTGCAGTCCTTTTCGCCTTTTTCCTTCGTGTTCTTAGCCGCCCAACCGCTCAGCTGAATCCCCTTTCTTTCCTTCGCCGCCTTTTTCGGTCGGGTCGACATCACCACTATTTCATCCTTTCTATCAACCTCCTTTGACCAGGTATGTATCTCTTGACGGCACCCCTGTATCGTTTCTTCTCTTCATCGCCTTCGTCTTTGTTTGCCGGCCTTGGACATACTTAGAGCAGGTTTCAGCCTGACTACCCTCCCTTTGCTGGCCAAGCCTCCTCACCCAGAAAGCTCAGCCTCGCTTTGTCGTGACTTGTTCTGCCTTACTCACAACAAAAGCCTTGACGATTGCACTTGTTGTTCACTTTCGTCCTAGACTCTCCCATCGGTCGATATTCGATTCAATATTCTGATCCTTGATAGTTTACAGTAGCTCTTTGAGCTTATATTCCGGCAAGATGACGACTATGGTAAGTTCTCAACCTGCTCAAGCGGCATACCTTCGTAATTCTAACACAGTATAGGACCTTCGCGTCGGTAATAAGTACCGCATTGGCCGTAAGATCGGGAGTGGTAGTTTCGGTGACATTTACCTTGGTACGTTGATGACCTGGTGTGACGGTGAGGACGATACTGACTCTCAGCTACAGGCACCAACATCATTTCTGGGGAGGAAATAGCCATCAAGCTGGAAAGCGTCAAAGCCAAGCACCCTCAACTTGAATATGAAGCCCGTGTCTACAAGTCTCTCGCCGGTGGTGTTGGTATTCCGTTCGTTCGCTGGTTCGGTACTGAATGTGATTACAACGCCATGGTAATTGATCTCCTCGGACCCAGTCTGGAGGATCTCTTCAACTTCTGCAACCGGAAGTTCTCGCTCAAGACCGTGCTCCTGCTTGCCGACCAGCTCATCTCCCGCATCGAATATATCCACGCCAAGTCTTTCATTCACCGTGATATCAAGCCTGACAACTTTCTGATGGGTATCGGTAAGCGTGGAAACCAGGTCAACGTCATCGATTTCGGTCTGGCCAAGAAGTACCGGGACCCCAAGACGCACTTCCACATTCCCTACCGTGAGAACAAGAACTTGACCGGAACGGCCCGTTACGCCAGTATCAACACTCACCTGGGTGTCGAGCAGTCCCGCCGTGATGACATGGAGTCCCTGGGTTACGTTATGCTTTACTTCTGCCGTGGCACCCTCCCCTGGCAGGGTCTCAAGGCTGCTACCAAGAAGCAGAAGTACGACCGCATTATGGAGAAGAAGATGACGACCCCCACCGAGGTTCTGTGCCGTGGATTCCCCAACGAGTTCTCCATCTACCTGAACTACACCCGCTCCCTGCGGTTCGACGACAAGCCGGATTACTCGTACCTTCGCAAGATCTTCCGTGATCTTTTCGTCCGCGAATCGTTCCAATACGACTACGTTTTTGACTGGACCGTCTACAAGTACCAGAAGAACGCGGCCATGATGTCAGACGCCAAGAAGGACAAGGATGCTGAAGAGCAGGCCCGCCGCCAGGGTGGAACCATGCCTCTGCCTGCGACCGGTGCCGCCAAGCCCGGTGCTATCTCCAGCCAGCGTCGCAAGATCATGGAACGTGGAACGCTCGACAACACCCCCGACACCAACCGTGCTGTGGGAGGGAGCGACAGGATGTGAGTATCTAAAACCTAGGTTCCGTGTAGGGAACTCCCTCCCTCTGCGTTTCGTTCTTCGGTGCGGCCTTGCTCGTGGAGGTCCTATATCTGTCTCTTTATTTTGGTTCCTAGAATCTGACTAATATCATAGTCTTCGGCGTTAGGCTGCGTTCCGCTTCCAAGGCTGCTGCTTCAGGTACTCCTGGTGCCAGCCGCCCGAAGCGGGACGATGGTCGTCAGTGGTACTATGAAGCCTAGCTTCATATCTGATGGCATGGTGCTAGCAAAGGAGCCCGGGATTATCGTCGTTCTAGTTGCTTCCATTGCAAGGTGCAGCATACCGTTCGGAACTCTTACGCCTTGGGACTCCGCTCCTGTTTTCATTTATCTTTCCCATTGCATTCTCTGTTAGCCATCTACCCGTTTTTCGATCGTCTTCCGGTTTCCACCAGTTCGATCCGACTGCGTTTTCATCATCAATCCCTCGATTATCGGCTCTCTTCAAATTTGGACTTTTCGACTGTACTCGCAACCCCAGTTCGTCGGCTGTGATTCCTCATACCGTTCGAATCATGAGTTCATGTGGAAAGCCGCCGATGTCGACGTTGAAACGCTCTTTATGTGGCTATATTTTACGTCTCAGTCGCCCGGTTGCCCCAGCTCGTCGGATCTTTCGACTTTGAAGTTTATATCCGTCGACGACTGTTGTGGCTAGACTGAAGGAGATGCAATTATCGAACAACTAGTCTGGAGTTTCTGTTAGTCTGACGTCGCGCATGCTGTCAGTCTCGCAACCCTTCCAAATGGCGGTTATTCGACAACTATCTACCCACTTTCCCCTGTTTGTGCATGTTTTATGGCTTCCACGTTTTTTATTCGCTCCGCACTGCACCAACATCTGTTATCTGCATTTTCAGAATGTCATTGTGGCTTATTGACGTATGAAGGGGACGAAGGGGTGAAGAGACGACTGGCGAAGAGGGGATGACTAGTTTGGGGCGTGGTGGGGTGTCGCTTTCTCGATCCACTGCTTTCGACAACGAGTCGAGCAGCAGAAGGGTAGACAGCGATGCCGAGCACATCTTTGGTATGGGGTGAATGGCGAAGGAAACTGGCTAGGGTCGCTTCCGGGGTGGTATTACGTCAATCTATGCTGTTTCTTTAGTTTCTCCAACTGTTTGCATTCGTTTGACCCTATTCATATGTGGATGAGACGGACCTAGAGAGCGCCATGGCTGTGGGTGTGGCGTGCGGCAGGCTTCTCTTTGGACGGTAGTCTTGCATATAGCCTAATATACTCGGCATTCCGTAGCATGACGTTCTCCATAAGCCTTCCATATTAATATTATAGGCAGTCTCAGCCCTGCGGTGTTTGGTCCTTCAGCTCGACTAGCGGGTTTGCAACCGTGCGTAGTAATGCCTGAGTAAGCGCTATGAAATGCAATCGGGCGTCGGGCTGAGGCAAGGAAGCAGACAGAAGTCTTGAGCGAGTGCTGGCAAGCCCATAATCCTGACAAAAAAATCTGAAATCAACAATCTTGACATCGTCGAATTTCATCATGGCTTCGTTGAACTGAGCGACGGCATAGATGGGGGCGGCGAACTGCTCTCTGTCCATCGCCAGCTCTGGCCCCAAGGGTTCTAGACTTGGTTCCTATATATACGACCCTCTCGCCGTCAACATTCTCCCCATCGCAACACAGACAGCAAAGATCGCAGACTCGAACACTGAGACACCGAGCTTGCATCGACAGCCGCGATGGACCAATATCCCTTTTACTCGGGCCACCCCTCACAGCAGCAGAACTTCGCACTCTATGGACTCCCCACCCCCACGCAGAACAACCACGGCGATGAGATGCAAGGACCCTTCGATCCTCTGGTTTGTGCCCCTCTCAACTCGCCGGTGCCGTCAGAATCCAAAACGGGAGCTGCAGCCGCTAACCGTCCATCCCAGAATTACCAACCTCCCTTCGACCCATCCTTCAATCCCGCCGCAGCACAATTTGGCGGCAGCCTGCCCCAGTCCCCGCCGGACTCGTACACGAAACACTCCGTCACAAGCGGCGAACACCCCACCGGCAATAATTACCCAGGGTCCATCGAAAGTCGCGATGAATTCGCCGTGCGGAGCAGCAGCGAAGAGAAGGAGAAGGAGGCGCTGGGCTTCGGAGTGACGCCCGCGCAGAGTAAGCGCAAGGCGCAGAATCGGGCTGCGTACGTGCTCTCTTTTTTTACCCTCGTTGCAGGATACCGTCAGCCGGAGGGACAAAGGTGCTAATCTGGTCCTTGTGAGGCGTACAGCCAGCGAGCCTTCCGCGAACGTAAAGAACGGCACGTCCGCGACCTCGAAGACAAAGTCTCTTCCCTGCAACAAGAGTCCTCGACTTTACTCGCCGATAACGAGCGCCTAAAGCGCGAAGTCGCGCGGTACAGTACCGAGAACGAGATCCTGCGCGCGACGACGCACTCTTCCACGCCCGGCCCCAACGTCAACGCCGACGAGCATCGAAAAACCAAGGACCGCGAGGCCGCGCAGACCGGACCCATGACTTACTCGCCCACGGACTTCTACAGCGACCTTGTTCCTGCGGGGCAGTCGGCGCGATTACACCGGGTGACGTACTGTAGTCAAACGGGCGAGCGGCTGCTCGATGCGGGTGCGACGTGGGATCTGATTCAGGGCCATGAGATGTTCAAGAAGGGGCTCGTGGATATTGCGGGGGTGACGAGACGGTTGAAGAGTAGTGCGCAGTGTGATGGGCAGGGACCGGCATTTCGGGAATGTGTTGTTAGACGAGCCGTTGAGGAGAGTATTCTTGAGCATTCGGATGAGTTGTTGTGAGTTGCTTGCTGAGTTTGGGATACGCCGGGGTATACATCCGGTGGTTGGCTTGGAGTTTTGAGCTGGATCATGCTTGTGCTTGGAATTGCTGGGACCGATTTGGCTTCGATTTGGATATATTTGAAGGTTTAATTGAGCGGGCGTGATAGGTTATTTTGGGGCCGTTCCGTACTCGTTCTTATCTACATTCGCGTTTGGCTCTCTGCTGAAATCTACGTTGTTGATATGGGTAGCATTGCACGTACTGAACTGTCGCCGAGTTTCGTGGATTAAATTTGAATATACATGGTTGCTATGTATGTTTGTACATTGTTTGATATGCTTACACCCGCAGGGCCACCACCGACTCGTTCTGGGACCGCCATATCTAGCACGATGTGAGCTGATATGAGCGTGGCTCGATGTCCACCAACTCAGACCCGCTGAGTGACCCATAGCCGCCTTGCAGCTCTACCCGAGTTGCATCTATGTACAGATCACTGTAGAACAGGTAGAGTCTCCTGATTGAGGTCAGGGTATGCTTGGGACTTCATGCAGCTGCTCCCGCTCATCGCGGAAGCCCTTGTTGCTTCACAGATGCCCCGCTTAATCCCAGTCGTCATCGTCTTCCACGGTAGCGCCTCTCCTAACACTAGCCTTCTTGAAGTTGGACGGCCGCTCATCCTCCGAGTCATCGTCCTTTTTCTTCAACCGGACATCACTCTCTTTGAGTGCCCCTACTTCAATCAACATATTCTCAAGATCTGCACAGCATCGGTCAGCAACAGTTCCAACGATATAACGAACCAAGGTAAGATATAGCAAAACAAACCCTCAACTCTCGTTCCCGTCCCCCGAAGCGCCATAAGCGTAACAAACTGCTTCACAATCTCGCCATCCTTATACACCAGGATCGTCGGCGTATTACGGTCCGGATACCCATCAATGCACATATTCCCGCGCATCTCACAGAACTTGATATCGCCGAATTTGGCGGCTAGCCGCCGCCAGATCTCAGAGAGGAGCCGCGACTCCACATTGTTGCTGGAGCTCGAGGTAAGGTTGACGCAGACGAAGCACGATTTCGAGGCTTCGGTTACTTCGCGCGTGAAGTCGGGCTTTTGCAGTCCGTAGACTTGGTTGTGCACGGAGGATTGTGTTATCGTGCTTAATTCCGCGAGGCGCTTCTGGCTGTTGATCTGCTTTAGCTATGTGTTCTTGTTATACCTGCCTTCCTGCCCCTTACCCTTCGCACCGGCGCGGTGCGGGGAGGTTTGGGAAGGGGAGGATACGCGTGCGGACATACCGGTACTGGTTCAAGAAGGCCTCATCCTCCACATCCTCTAGTTCATCCAGCTCATCTAGATCCTTATCTTCGAGACGGTTTTCGTACGCCTTGCGCTCGGCTTCGACGAGGGCTTCTTGGATCAGGGGTTCCGGGTCTTGGGGCTTCTCGGGGATGATGCCGTGTTTGCGGAGGATGTCGTTCCTGTATCTTGCTTAGTCCATGTCCGATTAAGGTCATTTGAGCTGCGCGCGGAGAGACTGCGCACGTAGGTGAGGTTAGGATGCGATTTGGCGGGGACGAACCACTCGGTGTCTTCGTTGGGGTCGACCTCGACTTGCATTGTGAACGATCGGACAATAGACTTGAAAATATGGAAGTATGTAAGCAATGTGAGGCTTCTGGCGGGTTGTAGAATGTGGGATGAAAGTTCTAGGCAGATGTAGAGGGGTAGATCGATAAATCTGGGGCCTTCTTGGCGGTGCGGGTGGTCGTTAGTATAGCTACCAAGGCACCCAGACGGAACGTACGATTGATGACAGCAGATTATAAACAAGTTCTATAGCTTTAGGAAGTGGTAGGTACTGCTTGATTGGACGTCTCTGGGCAAGATTGGTCTACGCTGGGGGTCCTATGAACTCTAGACATAAATCTGGCCAGTCTGCTCTGTATATTGTATGAAATCTCATGATTTGTCCCTGATCAAATATGCCGGTGAAGTCCTCTTTATTATGCCTTCAGTAAAGTAAACAGTGATATCCGCAAATGTGCATCATGAATCAGCTTTAGGGCAAAGGTCCAGGTACGAAACAAACCGAACTCCGTCGTAAAACCTCGAAACAAAAGAAAAGAATGCCAAATGCCCTCCCAAAATTTAATCCACATCCATCTCGTCCTGCGTAGTTCCATCCACCAACAGTCTGGTCTTCTTCTTTTGCCGGAGCCTTTCCTCGCCGTGCACTCTGTTCGCAATCTTGACACCCTCCTCGGCAAGCGACCGCCCCTCTTCTCTCTCGCGGAGCTCCTTGCGGATAAGATGCTCGCCCTCTGCAACGACCTTCCTGTCCTCCACGCGTTTGCGTTCGCGCGCTTCCTTGCCCGCCAACCGGCGCTTCGTGAACGCCCGCTCGCGGCGCGCTCTGATCTCCTCCACCCGCTCCATGGCCTGAACGGTAGCTGCGACGAGATTCCGGTCGTACTTAACGGGGACGTTGCGCTTCTTGGCGAACTGGGAGAGCACGAGCGACGAGTCGACGATCATTTCCTTGCCGCTGGCGGCGCGGCCGGCCTTGGTCCATTTCAGCTTGCGGGGTTGTCTCTTCAGCTTGAAGTTGGCGTGGCACTTTGAGCGGCAGAATCGGAATGCTTTGCCGTCCAGTCTAACCATCTGGATGCCCTTGGAGGGGTATACCGGGCGAGAGCAGAAGTGGCATGTTTCGACTCTGCGGTAGATTAATATATGGGTTGGGCGATGCTGGGGTTGAGCATATGGCATCAACTAGGAATACTAACCTCATCTTGGCGACCTTTTATCTCCTGATTTCGAGAAAAGGTTCCGGTATGATAAAAGAGAGGTATGGTTGTTATCAAAAAGTCGTGGAGAAATTCATATCGAAAACAGAAGTTTTGAAATTCTGCCGGCGCTAAGCCCCATCGGGCCTCGGGCGGCGTTCCGAGTTTTTATCTCGACGGCCGCCTTCTCCCCAACGTCACTTCAAGATAGGATCGACTGGATACTCTTCGTACTCGTTTCCTACTCCTACAGTATCACTCGATTGACCGAGATGTCGTCTGCTGTCGTTCTTGGACTTGGTGTCGCCACGGCCGCCTTCTTGGTATGCCCGATTCTAGGCGCATTATCCGCTCGTCAGTACTAATCGTCTGCCAGGGCCGCGCTGGTCTGGTCGCCTACCGCCGCTCCAAGGGAGGTGTGAATGCTTTGGGCAAGGCTTTCTACAAGGGGTGCGTTGTTTGATACCGGATGATGCATACGGGTTGCTAATTCCACTGCAGAGGATTCGAACCCCGAATGAACCGTCGCGAGGCCGCGCTGATTCTCGAACTCCCGTACGTTTCCCCACAGGTCAAAACATACCCCGGAATAGTGCTGATGATTTGATAGGGAACGCACCCTCAACAAGGATAAGGTCCGCAAGAAGCACCGTCAACTGATGCTGCTCAACCACCCCGATCGTGGCGGCAGCCCCTACCTCGCAACGAAGATCAACGAGGCCAAGGAGTTTCTCGACAAGCATACTTGAGTTCGTCCTAGCGATGGAATTCTGCTTGGTATTGGTGGCTGCAGTTTCGGATGAATGAACGGCTCAGATTCTGATATGGGCCAGATCATCCTCCGTGTATAGATACTGTTTTTGGTGCATAGCGTGGCGTTGGCTGGATTCCGAGGATAGAGCTCATACTACTACCTCATCCTTTTGGAGATTTGTACTGTATATATTGGTGAATCGCCGCTCCTGAAATGATCATCTCACGTGTTTCGAAGATATTGGAGGACCCTGTACGGAGTACATGCGGAGCCGACCAGACAAGTCACTCGCTGCAGCTGTGGCTGACGGTATATCCTAAGATCGATCGCACGGATTTAAAACATCCCGAAGTAGTCTGGGGCGTGAGTCAAATTGGCAGTGAAATTGCCGAAACTTGGTCACAAGCCACAACTACTGGGGTTGAACACTTTGTTCATCCCTCGGGGCTCGGGCTCAAGAACGAATACGAGAACGAGGTGCCTGTCAGACTTCAGTGTCCGCCAAGCCACGGGAGAAGAGAGCGGAAGGTTGCGGACCCGACCGCGGTGTCGCTATTTTCTACGTCGGAGTGTCGGCTGTTTCGGACGCCGCTTATTCAGTTCGTACATCGTTTAGTGCGCCTCCATCCAGATTCCAGATTCCAGCCAGAATCGTTGACTCCGGATGTGCACACTAGGAGCTTGGCCCCCCGGCGTTAAGGAGTAGTTTACCTTGATACTCCGACAAAGGCAGCACAGTTACGTTTGCTTGATTTTTCTTAGCTCCGCTGATTCATCCGTTGAACTTGTACGTAACATATCGGGTTGGGTCAGAATAACAGATTGCTTTTCTCTTTCCTTTTTGTACTCTATTTCCGCAGGAATCATCTTCCACACGTTGTCTTCTCTGCTGTCTTAAACTCTCGGTGGTTGAGTTGTGGTTGCCACGTGCCTGAGAGACGGTAAGCCCGCATTTTCTGTACCCCCATGTCATCATCCACTTTTCGCCTCCCTCAATGCTGACTTGCTCACTCACCCCAGTCACTCCTTTGACGGCAGCCGTGAGATACAGACCCCAAAAAGAAAAGAAAGCCACGAGGACCCCAATCAGATGAAAAACCGGCATCACCGAGTCTCCCGCTTACCTTGAATGGACCCCGCATCCGACTTTTACGTTGCTCCAGAACTGCCTTACCCGCTTACACTATCTTAACTCCACCCTTTCACGCATCGGGCAGTGCGACTGTGCTTACAACGCCCCCCCTCAGCTTTAAAAAAAAGCACTTGGTAATCAACACTGTACACTGAGTAGGATGGACGGAATGGGGGACGGTCCGGGTCCGAACAGCATGGGCTACGATATGCCCATGCTTATGAACCAGCAAACTCCCATCTTTGGCGCATATGGCCCCGAGGGCTCCCCGGTCACTGCTGCGCTCCCGAATCCTTCTTTCCACGATGAAGCATCAATGGGCTTGGGGGATGATACCAACGACGCCAAGAGAAGACGCATTGCGAGGGTAAGTTGTTTCCCGCATCATACGTGGTTATGCGACGTCTTCGATTGTCTGATCATCCTACCCGCAGGCATGTGATATGTGCCGGAAGAAGAAGATCAAATGCGACGGCAAGATGCCGAAATGCTCTCATTGCATCAATTACAAAACAGACTGTGTGTTTACCCAGGTCGAGAAGAAGCGCAATCCGCCCAAAGGGTACGTTCTTGTCGCCCGCACCTCGAAGCGTTCAATCGCTGACCGTATTCTTGTTATAGCGCCAAATACATAGAAGGCCTTGAGAACCGACTAGGAAGAATGGAGTCTCTTCTTCGCCTCTCCGGTTTACTCTCCGAAGATGATGGGAAGACGGACCTTGGAACGTTGGAAAAACGACTTGTTGACAGATCTCTTTCGACTGGCGGCTATAATGCTACTAATAGCCCGACAAGGTTCAATATGCCACTCAATGGGCAACCGTCTCAGCCTACTAGCATATCACGGCATTCGACGCCAAGGATAGACTCGCACTCTAGCCCGCGGACAGCGGCTACTTCACCCGACTCACAGAAAGAGTCCGAGAATGAAGTTGAAGGATTGTCAGACATGATGTGCTCCCTAGTGACGAACAATTGCGGCGAAACGCGGTATATTGGTAAGTGCTTGTTTAGCTGAAGTTTAAAGTAGGGCTGACCTGTATCAAAGGTTCGTCGTCAGGGTTCTCGATCTTCTCGCCTAAGGGTATCCAGTGGGTAAATGAGAAGACAGGAGATACTTCTTTTCAGGAAATGATTTCGTCAGCGTACATCGACGATAATAAATGGATGTACTGGAAACCGGAGATCTTCAGCGACATCTTTGCTCGCCGCGTCTTTAAACCGTTGCCTCCAAAGGAGGAGGCCTTGTCACTTTTCCGAGACTTCTTCGATAACTTCAATTGCATGTTTCCCCTTTTCCACGAACCTACTTTCATGCATCTGGTTGAGAAACAATATTCACGAGACCCCTACGAGGGCTCCGGCTGGTGGGCTAGCATTAATGTGGTGCTTGCTATTTCTCATCGCCTACGTGTAATGAGCAACCTCGTTCCTCAAGAAGAAGACAAGAAAGCATGGCTGTACTTGAAAAATGCCATGGGCGTCTTAACGGAGCTGACGATGCGAAATACGGATTTGCTGAGTGTACAAGCTCTCCTAGGCATGGTGGGTTTGACATTCTTCTTCCCTACGCGGTATATAGAACTAACCCCCCTTGCAGTCACTATTCCTACAGGGAACCCCCAACCCGCAGCCGTCATTCTTCCTAGTCGCTGCAGCTATCAGATTGTCCCACAGTATCGGGCTCCATAAACGTGGGTCTGGATTCGGGCTGAATCCTGTAGAAGCAGAGCAGCGCAAGAGGGTATTCTGGATTGCATATATGTTGGATAAGGAGTATGTTCTTACATCGCAAAACCTTTTAACTTTCTAACCCTTCCATAGTATTTGCCTTCGGTCTGGCCGTCCTCCTGTTCAAGACGACGATGACATGAACGTCGAGCTACCAAGCGAAGACCCTCCAGACAACATAGGAAACGTCCCGTTGTTTGACGGCAAAGGGAAGTTCAACATGTTTCGCACCCTCTGCCAGTTTTCTATCATTGAAAGCAAGGTATATAAGCGCCTCTATTCGGCCACTGCCTCTAAGCAATCCGACGGCGCGCTCTTGAATACTATTGGCGAGCTCGATCGGGAGCTCGAGGAATGGAAGGATAACATCCCCATCGATTTCAGGCCTGAACATGAGATTAAAGCAACGCATACGCCGCTCATACTCCACGTTGTTGTGTTACATTTCGCTTATTACAACTGCTTGACCACAATCCACCGGATGTCTGTCCACCATGGTTATTGGACAAGTCGTCTGTCTAATTACGCAATTCAAGGCTTGAATGCCCGACCATTGAACCCGAGAGTATTTTTGTCGGCGGTTCTATGCGTGACCGCCGCCAGAGCATCCATCAACCTGATCAAGTATATCCCGCAAGGTGATTTCGCTTGTGTCTGGTGAGTTCCTCTAACCCATCAGCTTCACAAGGAACAGCCCTAACCATTGTTGATTAGGTTGATATTGTACTATCCGGTCTCAGCCTTAGTTACATTGTTCGCCAACATCCTCCAGAATCCGAGTGATGCGCGGGCTCGCTCGGATGTCAAGCTAATGAACGTGGTTGTCAATTTCCTTTCCACACTCGTATCTGACGAGTCAAACGGGAGCATCAAGCGCATGCTTGGTGTATGTGGCGAGTTCGAGAGAATTGCGCAAGTCGTTCTCGATAAAGCTGAGAGAGATGCTCATTCGAAGAAGAAGCGGAAGGCTGGGCCAGACGAACCTAGAAATCCACCACAGGAAGCAAGTGTACCTCCTACGAAAACAAATACAGGTCAGACACAACCTACCACAATCCCATTTTCACCGTCACAGTACGGTGTTCAGCCGCAGGATAGTGACCCCAAGCTTCCAAATGGGGCGACGCCTTTCACTTCAAGCCAAACAATACATGGAACCAATGGCATGACCGACATGCCAGGAGGTATACCTACCATGCATAGGGTTGGCCAGGACTTTGCGGAAATGCTTAGCCCCAACACCTTGGATGGTCTGAATTTCGGCGGCCAGCCCCCTTTGACGTCTACTGGCGACGTCCCTATTGCACCGCCATTCCAACAGCCGTTTGTTCCACAAGATCTATGGCAGATGCCGATGACGATTGAATGGGATTGGGCGGATATGTCAACGAACTTTCCTGTCTTCGAGTCAGGTCCGAATCACTAGCGTTTATGATGAAACGAACTCATAATTCGACTGTCTTTTGACCGGTTGTTTCACTTGCAATACCGCGGATGCAGGTGAGAAGGGGTGATAGCCTGGATATCTTCACTTGTTTATTCTTTTTCCATTATCATTATTGATTGGCGAGGAGTAAGGAATGGCGTTTCTTGAGTTTGGGATTTGGGACCATGCATGTGGTGCACTTTGTACAAAGTAATGAGGTTTACATGACACTCCACGCTCTGCAGTCTGGGAAATAATACGAGACTGGGTATTAGATATATATGACAGAAATATTCCCCTCCACTTTAATTCCAACATCTCATGTCTTGCCCAGTAAAAGAAAGCGCAAGCTAATGCGAAAACGATTGATTTCCCTCGTAGAGGCAGCTGTAAAGCCATGTAGGCTGACTGCAGACTCCAAGCACCTGCGCCGCCATGATAGGTCTGTTTCTGATATTTCAAATAATTCTAGAGATCTCGTCTTGAAGGAAGATGACGGCACCATCTCGATCTCCTTCCCTGGGATTCTGAATGCGGATGACTCAGCAAACGGCGAGGAAAAACCAAGTCCGGTCCAGCCTCCCGGAGGCGAACAACAGCAGACAGCTTCGCAAATAAACCCAAGTTCAACAGATTGACACGTTTTCACGCCCGATCCGCCTCTCGAGGGCTTTTATGGCTTCCTGTGCCAAATCATAAACCTTACATTCCCCTTTCCGCTCCATCCGCCCCTCACATCCCTGCCTCTGGGCTCACCTTCCTCGACCATGGCCAGCTTACTCCGACGGCCAGGCAATCTCGCTCAATACTCGAGGAGAGCCGCAGACCGCATCTTCCGCGCCGGACCACTACATACGCGGGTCTCACCATCGAAATTAGCATCCTTGGACACAGCGCGTCGCGTAAGATCATTTGCTACGTACCGTGGCGTTGGCCCGAAGCCTCAGAGGAGAACACCGCCCCCAGCAGCAAATGACGGCAAAGAAAGCAATGGCGGCAATCCGGAACCCCCTCAGAAGCCGGAGCCCCCCAAGAAGCCGGAGTCGAAGTTAACCGCCGAGGAGGAGAATCAAGTCGACGCATTTATCGAACATATGAGGGAGTATGTGCCTAAGTCACATCACAAGCAGCTGGAGACCTTGAAGCAGATTTCACAGGAAAATGGCATGACTTCGGAGATTCGGGAATTCATCGAAAAATATATCAAGACAGGAAAGGAGCCGTCCATGGTAGATTACATGCGGATTACTCAACATGTGCGATCTGTGACCGAGGGACCTGGCAGGCAAGAAACCGAGCAGAAGGGTGGACAAAAGGATGGACAGGCACAGAGTGGGAAAAGTGGACAGAATGGGCAGAAGCAACAGGGCCAGGGTTCGCAGGGTCAGGAATTCAAACTTGACCCCGTGTCAGGCGTCATCATGTCAATCCTCATGATTTACGTCTACGGCAGTATTTTCCCCGGCGATACTGGCAAGGATATCACATGGGAGGAGTTTAGGAACAAATACCTGGACAAAGGTCTTGTGGAGAAGTTGACTGTTAGCAACAGAAACAGGGTCCGTGTCGAGTTGAATCGTGAGGCGGTTGCTCGGATGTACCCCGACTCACCCGCAGCGCAGCCCATGTTCTACTACTACTTCACTGTTGGGTCCGTTGAAAGTTTCGAGCGCAAACTCGACCAAGCTCAATATGAGCTCGGGATCCCTAGTTCCGAGCGCATTCCCGTTTCCTACGTTGACGAAATCCATTGGGGGGCCACCCTGCTGTCCTTTGGCCCCACAATCCTATTCATAGGCGGTCTTTACTATCTCACGAAGCGTGCCGGAAACGCTGGAGGTAATAGAAACGGCCTATTCGGTATTGGCAAGAGCCGAGCCAAGCGCTTCAACCAAGAAACGGATGTCAAGGTCAAGTTCGCTGACGTTGCTGGAATGGATGAAGCCAAGGTCGAGATCATGGAGTTTGTCAGCTTTCTCAAGAGCCCAGAGAGGTTCCAGAAGCTTGGTGCGAAGATTCCGCGCGGTGCAATCCTGTCGGGACCTCCTGGTACGGGTAAGACGCTGCTCGCCAAGGCCACCGCTGGTGAATCAGGGGTGCCTTTCTTCAGTGTCAGCGGTTCTGAATTTGTGGAGATGTTCGTTGGTGTTGGTCCTTCTCGTGTTCGAGACCTCTTCGCCACTGCGCGCCAGAACACCCCTTGTATCATCTTTATTGATGAGATTGATGCCATCGGTAAAAAAAGAGCCAGCGGAAAAGCCAGCGGCGGAAATGATGAGCGGGAAAGTACATTGAATCAAATCCTTACTGAGATGGATGGTTTCAACACTAGCGACCAAGTGGTTGTCTTGGCCGGTACCAACAGACCCGATATTCTTGACAGCGCTCTCATGCGGCCTGGACGTTTCGATCGGCACATTGGGATTGATCGACCTACCATGGAGGGTCGTAAGCATATCTTCCGTGTTTACCTAAAGAAGATCGTTACCAAGGAGGACATGGACTACTTGACGGGTAGACTGTCTGCCCTGACTCCCGGCTTTGCCGGCGCTGACATCGCAAACTGTGTCAACGAAGCTGCGTTGGTTGGTATGTAAAATATCGTCATCCCATATTGTTCCCATTATATGGTACATGTTACTGACTTGTGTACAGCTGCACGTGAGAACGCGGAGACCGTGACCATGTCGCATTTCGAGCGGGCAATTGAGCGTGTCATCGGCGGCCTGGAAAAGAAATCCCTTGTGCTCTCACCGGAGGAGAAGCGGACAGTTGCCTATCATGAAGCTGGTCACGCCGTCTGCGGTTGGTATTTCCGCTGGGCGGATCCGTTGCTCAAGGTTTCAATTATACCCCGTGGCCAAGGAGCCCTTGGTTATGCCCAATACTTGCCCGCCAATGGCGATACCTACCTTTTGACCACCAACCAAATGCTTGACCGGATGGCAATGACCTTGGGAGGCCGCGTCAGCGAGGAACTGCATTTCGATTCGGTCACCAGCGGAGCTAGCGACGACTTCAAGAAGGTCACCCACCTGGCCACAGCTATGGTTACGAAGTATGGCATGTCCCCCAAGCTCAAGTACATCTACTACGACGAGGACACGCAATCACAGTTCCACAAGCCGTTCTCCGAAGAGACAGCCAAAGACATCGACGTCGAAGTCCGCCGCATCGTCAACGAAGCATACAAGCAATGTCGCGATCTCCTTACAGCGAAGAAGAAGGAAGTGGGCATTGTGGCCGAAGAACTCCTAGCCAAGGAAGTCCTCAGCCGCGATGACATGGTCCGCCTGCTTGGTCCCCGCGAGTGGCCGGAATCTGCAGAATTCGCCAAATACTTTAATAACAAACAAGGGCAGACCATCGCACCACCTGAGCCTGAAGCAGACGGAAACGCCAAGAGGGTATTACCGCCTTGATAGATCTGGTGCAAAAGGAAAGAATCTCGATAAATGATCGTTTGATTGATCGTTCTTTTTTTCTCGGCTGCTCTATATCTATATCTCTTTCTTGGGATCCTGTATTTACAACTTTTCTTCATTTACTCCCCTCATATTCCTTTTTTGACTCATCTCATTACCTCTATACCTATCTTTGTCCTCAATTTCTCGCTGTTACCGAATCACTCAACATCCTTTTTGGTAACTTCTCTCCCAACGCATCCGATCTCCCTCGTCCTGTACTTCTGCCTCTTAAAGCGTCGGGTCTAGTGTACAATAGTAGGTAGTTCCATGATTGACTTTGTAAATTGGTCTGCACTTCAACTGCAAGGAACCGATATAGTTTGGTAGTAGATGATAGAACTATGTACTTATTAAACTAAGATGGGCGTACAATACCGGCTGTGTTCGTCCTAGAAGCGAAAGAAGTATCTAAAAGACCGATGCCTCCAGAAACAGACCAAAAAGCAGACCCAAGCCAGCATCTACTCCATCCTTGCAATCCAAAAGGAAAAGATAAATGGAAAACGGGTCAAAAAAGGGCAACACCCATGACAAAGAAGTGAAGCTAGTATTTCCAACCGGGGAAATTTAAATGGTTAGAGATAGATTCAAGATTCTGCGCATCTATTCCTCCTTCTTGTCCTGCACAGCCTTCTTCTTGTTCTTCTTACCCTTGTACCTAGGCGCGACGGACAGGCGAGGAATGAATCTTCCAACGCGGGCCTGGTATTCCTGGTACTCGGGGTACTTGCCGGCGCTGATTTCCTCAGTGAGACGGACGCTTCCCTGGAAGATGGCCATGAGACCAATGATTCCCAGGGCCGTCCACTGGACATATTGCTCAGTTCGGTAGGCGTTCCACAGGTAAAGAGTGAGCCAGATGGCCTGTTCAGCGGCGAAATTGGGGTGGCGGGAAAGCGACCATAGTCCACTGACAGCGAAGCCGCGTTCCAGGTCTTCGGGATCATACTGGTCCTTGAGGTTGGCGGGGATGCGGGCGGAGCTGTTGTATTCGTGCTTGGCGTTCTGGAACTTCCATTGCTGCTGGTCGGCGAAGAACTCGATGATGATGAAGACAAAAGCGACCCGGGAAAAGATCAGGTCGGGGAGCTCGAAGGATTCGCCGCCGGGGAGACGCGCGAGGAGGAGGAAGTTGTAGGTTGGGGCTGTAAGGAGAAGAAGCAGGAGCGGCTGGATCACGCTGATGAAAGTGATGTTGAAGAGGAAGAAGACGAAGCGGTTGTTGACACGAGAGCGTACGATAGACCAGCGGTAGTCTTCTGAACCAATGCTGTATCCGCCTCTACGCCAGTAGTTGAAGGTCAAGCGCACCTAGATAAGTTAGGGTTCAGCTGAGTTAAGAGGAAGAAGAAAAACATACGGTCCAGATGACGGAGATAGCAGCGATCGTATCCAAGTTAAGAGTGCGCAGGCCGGAAAGACGTGCCCAGACAGCGAAGTGAACATTGAACACCGATGGTAGGATAGACCAGAAGCGATCGACTTGAGAGTAGTTGCGGTTGATCTCGGAGAAGATGATAAATAGGACGGAAGTGAAGAGCGTAAAGGCAAGCGCACTCGCAAAGGGGTTGGTCGAGAGATAGATGTCTTTTAGAGCGTTCACATCCTTCGTCACAACTGCCGGCTGAAGATGTCCTGGGAGCGCAACAACTTGCGACAGGAATGGCCGCACAGCATGGTTGAACGAGACACAGTCTGCAAGAGACTTGACCTCGGGGAGTGGCAGCGTCATTGTCTTTGATGGCGGAACAGAATCAGGAGTGAGGGTACTTGGTTTAAAATGAGAACTCCAAGTATTCCCACATGAGACAAGGTATATATAGTATTGGATCTGGACTACAGAATAATCAGACCGTCATAGATGCAGTGAAGAGAAAATGGAATAATAGTGAAAGCACAACAAAAAACAACCTTGGGCCCAACTGTCACTAAATCTCACTAAGAGCTGAGGCGGGGTGCACCAGTCCAAATCTGGAAGTGAGCTATTACTTCCTAGCTTGGAAGTGGCGAGTCTCGTGACCGCGTCGTTTTCGCGTTCTACAGACCAGTCAACTACAAGTCTACAGCCCCCATGACCAACCAATTATGGAGCAGAGATGATTCCCAGATTAGGAGCTCCAAGTTCCTGTAGTACTAATTGCCTGACAAACTGTCATGGCGGGCACCAAAGTCCTGTGCGTGGCTGAAAAGCCTGCAATCGCGAAGGCTGTCGCGCAGCACCTATCTGGAGGTCATGTGCAAACTGTAAGTGAAGAAACTAGTTTGTGATATATGGACTAAGACCAGGGCAGAGCGCGGTTACCGGAAACCGATTTGTGAAAAATTATACCTTCGATTTCAATTTCGGGGGCCAGTTGGGCAACAGCTCTGTCACCATGACCAGCGTTCTAGGGCACTTGACGGGCTTGGACTTTGAGCGCCAGTACACTGGCTGGACGTCTTGCCCACCAGCCCATCTATTCGAAGCTCCTGTTAGAATCGATGTGGCCGATGTACGTGAGACTGAGTTCTGGCTGTCAGTGGTGGATGCTAACCTTGAAACAGGATAAAAAAGCAATTGCAAACAACATCATCAAACAAGCGCGGCATCATCAGTACCTGGTCATTTGGACTGACTGTGATCGAGAAGGGGAGCATATTGGCACAGAAGTGCGCGACCAGGCAAAGGCCGGCAACAACCGGATTATCGTCAAACGAGCCAAGTTCAACAATACCGAGAGAGTGTAGGTTCAATTCGGTCTGTTTCTCTATGAGATTTTCTAACCCAGTGGAAGCCACGTCTTGAATGCCGCGAGGTCCCTCATTGAGCTTGATGAACGTCAAGCGAATGCAGTAGCGGCGAGGATAGAGCTCGACCTGAGGATAGGTGCTGCATTTACTCGCCTGCTCACTCTTCAATTACAGAACCTCCATGATACCCTAACACAGAGGGTTATCAGTTATGGTATGCCATTTTTCTGCTCTGCAGCCGCAACCCTAACTGACACCCCCCTTTCAAAAAGGGTCCTGCCAGTTTCCAACCCTCGGGTTTGTGGTTGATAGATTTTTAAGAGTGAAACGATTCAAGCCAGAGAACTTCTGGGGAATCAAAGTCACACACTCTCGGGATGACATCAAGGTGAAATTTCTCTGGAAGAGAGTTCATCTTTTCGACAGAGCCGCTGTGACTATGATGCTGGAGCGCTGTTTAATGGCCAAAAAGGCCAAGGTTACCAAGGTCAACCAGAAACCGACAAGCAAGTGGAGGCCCCTACCATTGACCACAGTGGACTTGCAAATGATGGGAACAAAATATCTTCGCATGGAAAGTTCAAAAGTCATGAAGGTAATGCGTCAATGTGCAAACGCCTGTAGCAAGTCTGTTACTTACAATTATTAGATTGCAGAAAACCTCTATACTAGAGGTTTCATTAGCTATCCACGAACAGAAACTGATCAGTTTGATAAAGGAATCGACCTGAAGAAACTCGTTGAGAAACAACTACCAGACCAGAACTGGGGACAGTACGCTCAAGGGTTAGTGAGACTCACACCGTTCATATCTAGCAGCCATTGATCGTTCCCATGGTTTAGGCTCCTCGACGGTAATTTCAGGACTCCTCGAGCTGGACGGCACAATGACCAAGCACATCCGCCTATACACCCTGTCTGCTGGGTTAACCGCACCGCACTAACCGCGGATGAACATAAGGTATACGAGTTTGTCGCCCGACGGTTTCTCGCCTGTTGTTCAGATGACGCCAAGGGCCAATCAACTGATGTCGAGATCCAATACGGAGACGAAATGTTTCACGCTAGGGGATTACTCGTATTGGAGAGGAATTATCTAAACGTTTATGTTTACGACAAGTGGGAAAGCACCCAGCAGCTGCCCAATTACCGGGTCGGCGAGCTGTTCGAGCCCACCGAAGCCAACATGTTTGATGGAAAGACTTCGCCCCCAAATTACTTGACAGAGCCAGAGCTCATCGGACTAATGGATGCTAACGGAATTGGCACTGACGCCACTATGGCCGAACATATCAAGAAGATCAAGGACCGTGAATATATTGGCGTGCAACCACAAGGAACCGGTCGAAACGCAATAAGCTTACTCATTCCAACTCGGCTGGGTATTGCCTTGATACTTGGCTATGATGATGTTTTTGCCGGCATCCCAGACAGCCCGTCCCTAAGCAAGCCCTTTCTGCGGAAGCAGATGGAACTGGAAATGAGGGATGTTTGCTCTGGCACCAGATTACGGACACATGTCGTTCAGCAAAATCTAGACATGTACCGGGAGTTATTTATACACACTCAAATGCGGATGAACATGCTAAAGGCTGCGTTTCGAAAGTATATTGTTGAGGAGGAGGATGTGTGAGCTCTACTATGCCCTCTCATTCGGCTTATCGAAGAGTCTTTACGAACGACTGGGTTATAATCCTGGTAGAGGTCCCATATTTTGACCAAATTCATACGTCAGGAATATACACACGTCTACGGGAAACAATCACTGACAGGAATGTGGCAACGCAAGGAAATTGATTAACTATAATCATGCCCGCCAAGGCATGTCCTGCTAACGAACAAGGACCAAGTTGTTACATGAGGGGAAAGATCTCCCTTTCAAGCCTGTGAGCCTCTTGGATTGAGCAGATGTTTCTTTGGCGAAAGTCCTCAAGCAACCATGGCCGTACCTCGAAGATTTTAACAATACGCAAGGTATACCCAGGAAGACGCTGCCCTTGAAAATACCTTCTCATCCAATATCCCACACTCTCTCTTCGGAACATTTTCGCTTTTAGCCTTTTTATGAGCCTCCACAGACAACATTCTGAACGATATAATGATTTCGATATCCCCTTTACCCTCTGCGTGGAACCTGGCATATCGTTCCTTGTGGATGCACGCGCAGCCTGCTGAGGTAGAATGGAGCAGGCCGGCATCCTTTTCTCATTTCACCGACTTGATGT